TGTGTATATATATGTGTGTGTTATACACACACACACGCCACACCATAGAATACTTCTCAGCGATAAAAAGGCATGAAATAATGGCATATACAACAACCTGGATGGAATTTGAGACTATTATTCTAAGTGAAGTAATTCAGGAATGGAAAACCAAACATCATATGTTCTTAGTCATAGGTAGGAGCTAAGCTATGAGGACGCAAAGGCATAAAAATGATACAATGGATTTTGGGGACTCAAGGGAAAGGGTGGAGGTGTCAAGGAATAAAAAAACTACACATTGGGTACACTGTATAGCACTCACGTGATGAGAGCACCAAAATCTCAGAAATCACTAAAGAACTTATTCAAGTAACCAAACACCACCTGTTCCCCAAAAACATACTGAAGTAAAACAATTTTAAAAAAATTTTAAATCATATAATTTATCCTAGGTTTTTACAAAATATTTTATGAAAATTATACATAAGAAGTACACTATAACTGAACAACTTACATTCTAATTAAAATTTTGTTGCAAAACAAAAAATGTAGTATGTGGATAGACTTAATATTGTTAAGATGAGAATTCTCCTCAAATTGATCTACAAACTTAAATTAAAAAATCAGATCAAAATCTTAGCAGGCTTTGTGTAGACATTGACAAGCTAATTCTAAAATTTATGTGAAAATCAAAGGACCTATAATAGCACAACAACCCGGGAAAAAGAAAGTTGGAGGACTAATATTATATGATTTCAACACTTATTATAAAGCCATGGTAATTAAGACAGCAGTATAAAGACAGACATATAGACCAAGAGTACAAAATGGAAATTTTAGAAACAGATCCTCACAAATACAGTCTACTGACTTTTGGCAAAGGTATCAAGGCAATTTACTGGAGATAGTCTTTTCAACAAATGGTGCTGGAACAACTGGACGTTCAGATGCAAACAAACATTGATCCTCACATCATACCCTATACAAATATTAACTTGAATTGGATCTTAGACTTAAAACTATAAACATTTTATAAGAAAATGTAGAAGAAAATCTTAGTTATTTGAGTTAAAGATTTCTAAACAAGATACACAAAGCTCAAATTGTAAAGAGAAAAAAAAAATCACTAAACTGGACTTGAAAACTTTTGCTCTTCCAAAGACACTAAAAGGCAAGCCACAGACTGGAGGAATATTTATACCTGACAAAGAATGTGTGTACAGAATAAAGAACTTCTACAAGTAGGTAAGAAGATAACCCAATTTAAAAATTGAATAAGTACTTGAACAGGCACTTAGCTAAAGAAGATACACGAATGGCAAATAAGGACACAAAAAAGATGGTGAACATCGTGGTAAACAGGAAAATGCAAATTAAAACTACAATAATATAACACTACATACCCAAGAGACTGGCAACATTTAAAAAGATCGACAATAAAAAAAAAAGCAGGGGTTGCAATCCTAGTCTCTGATAAAACAGACTTTAAACCAACAAAGATCAAAAGAGACAACAAGGCCATCACATAATGGTAAAGGGATCAATTCAGCAAGAAGAGCTAACTATCCTAAATATATATGCCCCCAATACCAGAGCACCATGATTCATAAAGTAAGTCCTTAGAGATCTACAAAGAGACTTAGACTCCCACACAATAATAATGGGAGACTTTAACACCCCAATGTCAACATTAGACAGATCAATGAGACAGAAAGTTAACAAGGATATCCAGGAATTGAACTCAGCTCTGCACCAAGCAGACCTAATAGACATCTACAGAACTGTCCATCCCAAATCAACAAAATATACATTCTTCTCAGCACCACATGACACTTATTCTAAAATTGACCACATAATTGGAAGTAAAGCACTCCTCAGCAAATGTAAAAGAACAGAAATTATAACAAACTGTCTCTCAGACTACAGTGCAATCAAACTAGAACTCAAGATTAAGAAACTCACTCAAAACCACTCAGCTACATGGAAACTGAACAACCTGCTCCTGAATGACTACTGGGTACATAACGAAATGAAGGCAGAAATAAAGATGTTCTTTGAAACCAATGAGAACAAAGACACAACATACCAGAATCTCTGGGACACATTTAAAGCAATGTGTAGAGGGAAATTTATAGCACTAAATGGCCACAAGAGAAAGCAGGAAAGATCTAAAATTGACACCCTAACATCACAATTAAAAGAACTAGAGAAGCAAGAGCAAACACATTCAAAAGCTAGCAGAAGTCAAGAAATAACTAAGATCAGAGCAGAACTGAAGGAGATACACAAAAAATCCTTCAAAAAATCAATGAATCCAGGAGCTGATTTTTTGAAAAGATCAACAAAATTGATAGACCGCTAGCAAGACTAATAAAGAAGAAAAGAGAGAAGAATCAAATAGATGCAATCAAATAGACAAACAAATGGAAGAACATTCCATGCTCATGGATAGGAAGAATCAATATTGTGAAAATGGCCATACTGCCCAAGGTAATTTATAGATTCAATGCCGTCCCCATCAAGCTGCCAATGACTTTCTTCACAGAATTGGAAAAAACTACTTTAAAGTTCATATGGAACCAAAAAAGAGCCCGCAGTGCCAAGACAATTCTAAGCAAAAAGAACAAAGCTGGAGGTATCATGCTACCTGACTATACTATTTATACTACAAGGCTACAGTAACCAAAACAGCCTAGTACTGGTACCAAAACAGAGGTATAGAGCAATGGAACAACAGAATAGAGCCCTCAGAAATAATACCACACATCCACAACCATTGGGTCTTTGACAAACCTGACAAAAACAAGAAATGGGGAAAGGTTTCCCTAATTAATAAATGGTGCTGGGAAAACTGACTTGCCATATGTAGAAAGCTGAAACTGGATCCCTTCCTTATACCTTATACAAAAATTAATTCAAGATGGATTAACGACTTAAATGTTAGACCTAAAACCATAAAAACCCTAGAAGAAAACCTAGGCAATACCATTCAGGCCATTGGCATAGGCAAGGACTTCATGACTAAGACATTTATGCACCCAACAGACACATGAAAAAATGCTCATCATCACTGGTCATCAGAGAAACGCAAATCAAAACCACAATGAGATACCATCTCACGCCAGTTAGAATGGCGATCATTAAAAAGTCAGGAAACAACAGGTGCTGGAGAGGATGTGGAGAAATAGGAACACTTTTACACTGTTGGTGGGACTGTAAACTAGTTCAACCATTGTGGAAGACAGTGTGGCGATTCCTCAAGGCTCTAGAACTATAAATACCATTTGACCCAGCCATCCCATTACTGGGCATATACCCAAAGGATTATAAACCATGCTGTTATAAAGACACATGCACATGTATGTTTATTGCGGCACTATTCACAACAGCAAAGACTTGGAACCAACCCAAATGTCCATCAATGATAGACTGGATTAAGAAAATGTGGCATATATGCACCATGGAATACTGTGCAGCCATAAAAAGGGATGAGTTCATATCCTTTGTAGGGACATGGATGAAGCTGGAAACCATCATTCTCAGCAAACTACTGCAAGGACAGAAAACCAAACACTGCATCTTCACTCACAGGTGCGAATTGAACAATGAGAACACTTGGACACAGGGCAGGGAACATCACACACCGGGGCCTGTCATGGGGTGGGGAGAAGGGGGAGGGATAGCATTAGAAGATATACCTAATGTAAATGATGAGTTAACGGGTGCAGCACACCAACATGGCACATGTATACATATGTAACAATCCTGCACCTTGTACACATGTACCCTAGAACTCAAAAGTATAATAAAAAAACCAAATATGTGAAAATTAAAAAAAAAAAAAGATCAACAATAACATCTGTTGACAAGGATGTGGAGTACTTGAAACTTTTATTCCTTGCTGGTGGGATTGCAAATTGGTGCAATCACTTTAGAAAACGTGTGGCAGCTTCTTAAAAAGTTAAACATGCAGTTACTGTATGACCTAGCAAATCCATTCCTATGTGTGTGTATATATATAAAAATTTTTTTTTTTTTGAGACGGAGTTTCACTCTGTCACCCAGGCTGGAGTGTAGTCATGCAATCTCGGCTCACTGCAACCTCTGCCGCCCAGGTTCAAGCAATTCTCCTGCCTCAGCCTCTGCCAAGTAGCTGGGATTACAGGCTCCTGACATCATGTCCAGCTAATTTTTGTATTTTTAGTAGAGATGGGGTTTCACCATCTTGGCCAGGATGGTCTTGAACTCCTGACCTCGTGATCCACCTGCCTCAGCCTCCCAAAGTGCTGGGATTACAGGTGTGAGCCACCGTGCCCGACCTTTTATGTATATATTTAATAGAAATAAAAACATACTTCTAGACAAAGAGCTGTGTGCAAATGTTCATGGCAGCTTTATTCATAATGGTCAAATTCTGGAAACAATATAGGTGTCCATTAACTGGTAAACAGGTAAATTGTGGTATATCCATGTAACTGAATACTATTCAGCAAATAAATAGGAACAGCTTTCTGATACTGGCACAACATAAATGAAACTCTAAAATATTACGGTAAGTGAAAGAAGCCAGCCAGACATAAAAACTATGTATTATTCCATTTATATGAAATTCTAGAAAAGGGAAAGTGACATGCCAGAAGCCAGTAAGCAGGCAACGGGACTGACTGCAAAGGGGCACAAGGAAACTTTTCAGGCTGATGGAAATGTTATCATGATTATGGCTGTGATGACAAGACTATCCATTTATCAAAACTCAAAGAACTATACACTTTACAGCCAGAAAATTTTACTCTATACAAATGGGACCCCCCACCTCAAAAAAATGTGCTGAAAAAAAGAAGAGTGGCAAAGTTAAAGGAACAATTGAGCCCAAACATAAAACAAGGACTTAACACAAAAGCTAGGGTCAGTAATGTTTCAAGACATATTTTGCAAGGGATAAATGAAGGTTTTTTTAGCAACATGGCAAACCATCATGTTTGTCAACTGTGAGCATGCACAAGTACACAGAAACATACCAGAACCAGAGGGCTTTTCTGCAGAATCATCCACTGCAGGAGTTGAACGGGGTACTACTGCTGTGGAAAGCTGAATTTGCTTTGGCTGAGTCTGACTATTGTTGGGTTCGGACTGGCTCTGGTCCTCTGACTGGGTGAGAGAGGTATAGAATTCTTCCAATTTGGGCAGTGTGGAAGAATCTGAAGAACCATTTATGTCTAGTTGCTGCAGAATGGGAAAAATGGGGCAAAAGCATGAAAAATGTTAGTATAAGAATTAAGCCCTATTTCCTTACTTATAAGCAAAATACAAATATTTCCATATTATAATTAATAAATAAAACTACCCACTTTCAAGAACCTAGATACTCTCTAGAAAAAGCGAGTCCGTCTCTATCTTAATGAACATAAATTCAATTCAAGAAACATTTATGGAACACATCCCATAAGCAAACAGGGCACTGAGTGCTACCATACACAGGCTGGGAAAGTTGGGCAGTGCACGAGAGAAGTGACGTTCACTGAGCACCCCGTGTCGGGCGCAGTGCTAGCTTATCTGCATGTGTTTCTTCATTTGAACATCAGAACAGGTGTCCTAGGTAGGTGCTACTACATCTTTCACTTAGCATAATGCTTTTACAGAGTGGTTAAGTTATCCAACGTCCATCAGTAAATGGCAGGGTGTAGATCTGAACTGAGGCCAGTCTATGTTCTCTGTGCTCTACCATGCCACCTCCCCGTCAGACAGGATCCCCGTCCCTAAGGGGCACTCAGTCCTCAGTCAGGGAAACTGTGTGTGTGCAGCTAGCCATGAAAGGAGGCAATAGCTGCATGCTCCTCAGAAGGGACAAAAAGGCCAGGGTTTGAGAGAAAAAGATGAACTTCCAAACTGAGACTGAACTTGAGCTTAAGTGAAGGGAGTGCCAAATTTTAACCATTATGAAACAGACCCCATTTCCTACCATATAGTCATTGCTGAAGTAAGTATACTCTATGGTCATTTAATAGCATTCATCTTTGGTGATGTCAACTGGCATTAACATGAGTAAAAAGGACCCCATCGGACCAAGCTGTAACAAACTGAACTAAGTGGTTTATCATCTGGGATCTGCCTAGAGCAAACTGAAACAATAAATGTACAAACAGATGTAGGCTTGTTTTTCTGGCTCATATGCATCACACATTTAATATCAGCAAATGTTCCTTCTGTGGCAAAAATCTATAGCAGCTCACTTTCAAAGACAGTTGGCATGAATGTGGCTTATGTAATTATATAATATACAAATGCCTGTGTGTATAACCTTTTTTGGTTGCAAAAAAGAAATTCTGAAACTCCAGATAGCTATACTGGGCAATACAATATGTTATTTCAGGAAACCAAAGATCTGGACTCAAATTTTTGCATAGTTTATGCAATTCATATGTGTACTTGAGCTACCTTTTATCTTCATTTAAAATGAGGCTGAGAATCAGTGAATTCTTTCAATAAACTACAATAATAATTAAGTAAATCAATATTTATTAATATAAATTTTTTAGGCTGGGGAGATTACTAGTTCAAATCAGTCTTTGCAGGTGGGCAAACTCAGGGCACAAAAGGTAACTTGTTTAAACTTACTAGTCAGGGGTAAAGACCAGGCCCTAGATTATAGCATTCACAGAACAGTGCTTTTTACATTATGCCCTACTGCCTATGTTTTGCTGTGTAATAGATAATATATAGAAACATTTTTAAAAAGCTGTATCTTCTTTCTTGACAAATATGATTTAAGAAAGATGCACTGTTGACACATATTTAAATGCATCCTGATAGCTTTCACTTTGAATTTCACTCTAAATTTGTATGACATTTGAAAGCAAGTATGTGTAGTAAATTTAGGCAATTAGTTGACAATAAGTCTTTCCCTTCTAAGAGTAATCTAGAGCCTTACTACTCAAAAGTGGTGTTCACTCAGCAACATCAGCATTAGTTGGAAGCCTGCTAGACATGAAGAGCTTTGATCCCTACCCCAGATATGCTGGATAAGAATCTGCATTTTAACAAGATTCCCAGGTGACCTGTATGCACATTATAGTTTGAGAAGCACTGCTCTACCATATTTATTCTTCTGTAGTTATAAATGACTGATTCCCTCACAGTTGTTTGGAAATATACCATAATGGAACTACATATTAGTCTCAACAAACATGTTCATGATTTATGAAACATGTTTCATAACATGAACAAATGCCCCAAATCACTTCACATCCACTAGAATGGCTATAATAAAAAAGACAGATGACTATAATCATTGGCAAGAACAGCAAGTGTTGACATGGACAAACTGGAGTACTCTTAAATTGCTGGTAGGAATGTAAAATGGCACCGCTGCTCTGGAAAATATCCTGGTAGTTCCTCAAAATGTTAAACATAGGGTTACAATATGTTTATCTAGTTACATACCAAAATAAATGATAACATGGCAAGGAGTAAGAAAATGGCATAGGGCAGAACTCTGGCAGACATCACAGGGAGCAAGCCTAGACAGTACGTTGGGAGGTGGGGAAAAAAGATCACGGCATCACAAAAGCCAAAGGAAGATTATGTTTCAAGGAGGAATGCAAGGTTACTTTCAAATATTGCTGAGCAATCAGGTACTGTAAGGTTAAAACATGCCCACCTAATTTAGCAACATGGGAACAGATGGTGACTTGAAGGATAATCACTGTAGTATTGTTGACAGTCACACGAAATCTTAAAAACAAGATATTCATCAGAACTATTTAAATCAGCATGGCATATCCATACTCTGCCGGAGTTTAAAGCAATGAGGTAGGTTTGTAAGTACTCATATGGAAAGGTGCTGAATGGTATGTGTATTATGTTCTCATGTATGTGTTTAGTTTCTCGGAAAGATACACAAGAAACTGCTTATGACGGAGTTGGATTAGAAGAGGCAAGGATATCTTATTTCCATAACTTTCAGAACAACTTGAATTTTAAAATCCTGCATATGTAGTACTTTTATAATTTTCAAAGGCAAAACATGTTTGTCTACATAGGGGATGAAAAACAAGTGTGGTAACTAGAGAGGACTGTGGGTTTAAAAAAATTTATAATGCTTAAATTTTGTTTAGATGGAAGGTACATTAATATGTTTAAACGCTTATGAGAACACTCCAGTAGAAAGAGGTCGAAGATACAGACAGCAGGAGAGGACTATATCCTAAGCATACTTCCAGTCCCAAGCCTTTTGAATAAGGCATATTCAACCTGCATAGTAAGTACAGGTTGCTTTAGAATAGGAATAGAAAAAGGGGTAGAAAAAGAAAACTTTTTTTTTTGAGACGGAGTCTCGCTCTGTCGCGGACCCCAGGCTGGAGCGCAGTGGCCGGATCTCAGCTCACTGCAAGCTCCGCCTCCCGGGTTTATGCCATTCTCCTGCCTCAGCCTCCCGAGTATCTGGGACTACAGGCGCCCGCCACCTCACCGGGCTAGTTTTTTGTATTTTTTTAGTAGAGACGGGGTTTCACTGTGTTAGCCAGGATGGTCTCGATCTCTTGAACTCGTGATCCGCCCGTCTCGGCCTCCCAAAGTACTGGAATTACAGGCTTGAGCCACCGTGCCCGGCCAAGAAAACTTCCTTAAGAAATACACCTTAAGAAGTTCATTATGATACAGTAAAGATTTTAACATTGTAAATTCTCTTCATAGGGTATAAAGTAATAGTATAAAACTATATGACAGAAAAAGTTTGAAGATTCAGATTTCCTGATTTCAAAACTTATTAAACAGCTAGAGTAATCAAGACAATGTGACACTGGTATAGGAACAGACACATAGAGAATAGGATTGAAAGTCCAGAAATAAACCCAATCATTTATGTCAGCTGATTTTCAATAAGCATGCCAAGACAATTCATGGGGAAAGAATCATCCTTTCAACAACTAGTCCTGATACAGCTGAATGTCCACATGCAAAAGAATAAAGTTGGACCCTATCTCACACCATAACAAATTAACTCAAAATGGATCAAAACCTAAATGTAAGAGTTAAAATTATAAAATGCTTAGGTGAAAACACAGGTGTAAATCTTTGTAACTTTGGGTCAGACAATGGCTTATTAGGGGATACCAAGAGCTCAAACAACCAAATAAAAAAATCTATTGGATTTTACTTAAAAAAGAAAAAATGAAAAAAACAACAAAAAAAACCCCTTTTTTGCTGCAACGGACACCATTAAGTGAAAAAGAAAAACAGAAGAGTAGAAAATTTGAAAATAATGTATCTGATAAGGGACTTGTAATATGGTATCTTCTTATATCCAAATAACAAAAGACAACCTACTTTTAAAATGGGCAAAGGATCTGAATATCTTGTCAGAGAAGATAAATTGCCAATAAGCACATGAAAAGACACCCAACATCATTAGCCATCAGGGATATGGAAGTAAAAACCATAATGAGACACCCTTCATATCCACTAGCATGGCCATAATCAAAACAACAGGCAATAAGTGTTGGGGAAGATATGGAGAACTGGAACCCTCATACACGGCTGGGGGGAACATAAAATGTTGCAGCCACTTTGAAAAACAGTAGGCCAGTTCCATAAAATGTTAAAAGCAGAAATACCGTATGATCCAGAAACTCCACTCCTAGTTATATACCTAAGAAAAACTAAAACGTGTTCACACAAAACTTTGTACTTGAACATTCCTAGCAGCATAATAGCCAAAATGTGAAAGCAGCCCAAATTCCCACCAATTGATGAATGGATAAACAAGATGTGGTATATCACAGAAGGGAATATTATTCAGCCATAGAAGAGAATGAAGTACTGGTTCATGCTACAACAAGGATGAATTTTGAAGACATTATTAATGCTAGGTGAAAGACAATCACAGAAAAGCACATACTGTGTGCCTTTTAACAGACAAATCTGTAGAGACAGAAAGCAGATCAGTAAGTAGCTGCCTAAGGCTGTGAGAGGAAGGGGAAGGAGTATGACTGCTAATGGTCATGGGTGGGTTTTTTTGAGAGGGTGATGAAAATATGCTAAAATAGACTGTAGTGATAGCTGCACAGCTGTGTATCCTAAAAACATTGAATTGTGCACTTTAGCAAATTATAATGTATATCAATTATATTTCAATAAAGCTGTATTTTTAAAAAAACCTGAAAAACAAAATATAAAAGCCTACTTTATCCTAAAACTAAATTCATGCATTAAGCAAGCTACATTTCTGGAAGAGACCATTCTATGAAATACAGAATGACTTTATTATTGTCATACAATGTAACCATAGTCTGAAGGAAATGTGTCACTTAGAAGGTTCTTCCTCCCTAGATTTGCTTTTCAACAAGTCTTCTAGACTTAAGCTCTTTATTTTCAATGTAACACAAAAAGTAAAGAGGTCTGGCAGCCAAATTTCATGATTCACACAAATTGTCCTGCTGTTTTCAGGATGCTCGTAATATATTCAGGAAACCTGAAACAAATATTCTATGCCAGGATTACTGCTTTCTGCCAAAGCAATGTGAAAGAAGAAACTAGTCTATATTATGCAACAGACACAGAGCTTAAAATTATGACTAAGTTACAGGAAAATCCCAGTTTTCTCTATCTCTAAGAGAGGTTTAATCATTTTAAAATTTCTAGGCTCAGGATTCTCTTCTGAAGCAATAAGGAATTATGTTTTCATTTTTAAATCAACCTATATTTTATGTATATGTATTCTACAACTGCTGAGAGAGGTCATTAACCACAAGTATTCTGGGGTGCAAATCCACTCATAACTCTAGTACAAAGCCCAAAAAGTCAAATTTATCAACAGTAATAGCTACAGCAACCTGTTAAGAGATAGGCAATATCAAACTATGTAAATTGAGAATTTTGCTTTCTAAAAATGAAAGGACTTCCTTATGCAAACCTGTCCCAATAACCTGCATTAGACATTTACCTTTTGAGTCCTGTTTGTACCAGTATTTTTTTGCTGAGCACTCAGTACTTCTGGTTTATGAACTACTTTCGTTCCATTTACAAGGCCTGAAGGCTGCCAAGAATCATCCCATGTATCTTTGGGGATAGAAAAACACCAGTCCTATAATGAAAAAATGGCAACGTAAACTGAGATAAAGTGCCCATGATCCAAAAAGAGGATAACTTGGGCAAGATAAATGCATGAAAGCAACACATATTAAACAAAAAGGTATTTATTAACTTTCTGTATCAGTGTGACTTTCCTCCTTGCTCTATTGGTCCATACCCAGTATCTTGAACTCTGAACACATGGATCTCAAAAATAAATACAACTCTTTTTGTAGTGTTTTCTTTAATATCTTTTTCATGGCTAGATGATTTTCTTCATGATCATCTAGTATTTAAATAGCACAAACAGGAAGGAGCAACATAATTTCAGATACTTACTATTATAGCCAGTGGGAAATAAATTATATATATACATAGTTAGACCTAATATTAGCAAATATGCTGACTCCAGAAATCCAGAGGTTATATTACAAGGCTAAAGCAACAAAAGTAAAATTAGAGAAAATGGTTTCTTTAATTTATTTAAAGATCCTAAGGGCCTTGACTAGGGGCTGATGATAAAATAAAAATCACAATGATTAAAAGGGCAGATATGCAAAAATTGGTCTATGGTTTATTGTCCCATGATGAAACCTCTGTCCCCCTACATGCTACTATTTTTTAAAATCATGTATTCTTTGAATTATGGTCTGATAAATACTTTTGAATTCCAGAATATATAGATTTCTTGAGACCTAGACAATTAAATTTAAATTTCCTTTTCTCAGTACTGACTTGCTTTCTTTTCCTTTTTTTTTTTTTTTTTTTATAATTTTTTTGGAGATAGGGTCTTATTCTGTCACCCAAGCTGGTGGAATGTAGCGACATGATCTTGGCTCATTGCAACCTCCAGCTCCCAGGCTCAAGCACTGATCCTCCCACCTCAACCTCCCAAGTAGCTGGGAGCACAGGTGCACACCACCACACCTGGCTATTTTTAGTAGAGACAGGGTCTCACCATGTTGCCCAGGCTGGTCATGAACTCCTGAGCTCAAGTGATCCACCTGCCTTGGCCTCCCCAACTGCTAGGATTACAGGCTTGAGCTGCATTGCCCAGCCTGATTTGCTTTCTATTTTTCCTAGGATCTAACCTTCTGTGGCATTTCTTTACGTGATGAATACTGATTCTTTCCATCAACACTTGCAGTAAATAGATGGGAGACAGCATCACCTCCTTTTCCCATCTTAGCCTGTAGAGGTAACCAGTTCTCATCCCAAATATCATCACCTATGGTCACTGACTCCAGGCATGGCATTCCCGTGGGGATCTCATCCTAAAATGTAACAGAAGACAAAGAAAAACTATCATTTATAGTTCCTATATGAGCATATAAAATTTAGGTTTTATAGTTTTTTCCTGACTCCAAGTAAACATGACAGTTTGAATTCACAATTTATTACTTTCCCTTCTGAAATGCCACCAAAATAATAAAGAGATTTAGGATATAATTTTTAGAGTCAAAGAGAACAGAAGAGGAGAAAACACCATCTACTTTCTGGGTACAGGAAAGTAGACAAGTGACAACTGATTAAGCAGTCCTGAGAAAGTGGAATCCTGAGTTTGCAGTGAAAAAATTGAGAAGCAACCCAAATCTATACAATATATACCTTAAAAACTCAGAAATTTGTACTAAAAGGTTTTTGGAATTGAGGGTGTAAAATGGGAATGAAAAAAGCACACTGGCTGAATGTCTGTGCGAGTAGGACTTAGCTCTCCAGATACTCTCCCCTATTCCAAGGACTCAGGCAACTACATCTCCTCTATCTGCCAGAAGACCAGAAATATTCTGGAGGGTAAAACTGAGGATGGAGCAATCATAATAAAAATTATTAAGGAAATAAATGAAGGTTTTTATAATGAATATTGAGATCCCTGGCCCTCTTTTCAACAGCAGAACAGAAATGAAAGAATGCATGAACTTGAAGACAGATCCATAGAAATCAAATCTAAACAAAAGAGAAAAAAATATTGGGGGAAAAAAACAAAAAAACAACCAAACAAAAAACTCAAAATAGAGCCTCAGGAACTGTGGAACAATACCAAAAGATTTAACATCTGTGTCATCAGAGTCTCATAAGGAAAACAGAAAGAGTATAATGCAGAAAAATAATTTGAAGAAGTGTGGCTGAAAACATCCAAAATTTGGCGAAAGACATAAATCTACAGCTTCAAGAAGTTCACCAAAACCCAAACAGGATAAACCTAAAGAAATACATGCCTAGACAGGTTCTACTCAAGTTGCTGAAAACTAAAGACAAAGAACTGTCTTAAATGTAGCCAAAGAAAAATAACACATTACTTATAAAGGAAGAACAATTTCAATTACTGTGGATTTTGCATCGGAAACCATGAAGGGCAATAAGAAGAATGAAACTGTTAAAGTGCTAAGAGAGAAGAAATGGGAACCCAGGTTTCTATATACAGCCAAAATATTCTTCAAGAATGAAGTAATAAATATATTCTCAACAAAGAAAACAGAGAATTCATGGTCAGCATACCTACTCTAAAATAATTGTTAAAGGAAGTTCTTTGGACAGAAAGGAGATATCAGAAGGAAACTTGGAATATCAGAAAAAGAGAGATCAACAGAAATGATAAATATCTGGGTATATATAATAGACTATTCTGTTGAACTTTGAAAGAATATTCTTAGAAGAATATTCTTGAAGATGGAAAGCAAAAACTATAACATCATAAATTGTATGTAGGTGTAACATATAAGACAAGGATGGCATAAAGGAAAAAGGAAGGGGTAAAAAGACCTAAATAGTAGAGTAAGATACTGACATTCCAAAGTGGTAAAATGCTGACTAAGTACACTGTAAAAGTCAAGAATGACAACTGTAATTCCTAGAGCAACCACTAAAAACACTGTACAAATAAATATAATAAAAACATAGTACTTTGAGAAGCCAAGGTGGGCAGATCATGAAGTCAGGAGATTGAGACCATCCTGGCTAACATGGTGAAACCCCATCTCTACTGAAAATACAAAAAAATCAGCTGGGCGTGGTGATGGGCACCTGTAGTCCCAGATACTCAGGAGGCTGAGGCAGGAGAATGGCATGAACCTGAGAGGTGGAGCTTGCAGTGAGCCGAGATTGTGCCACTGCACTCCAGCCTGGGTAACAGAGCAAGACTCCATCTCAAATAAATAAATAAATAAATAAACAAATAACCATAGTAAATAAAATGGAATACTAAAAAATGTTCAAATAACCAAAGAGAAAGCAAGAGGAGGCAGATGAATGAAAATCAGGGGAACAAACAGAAAAATAAAATGGCAGATATAAAATAAAAACATATATATAATCACATTAAACATAAATGGTCCAAACCATACTAATTAAAATTCAGATTGTCAGAGTGGATTAAAAAATAATCAAACTAGGCCAAGTGCAGTGGCTCAAGCCTGTAATCCCAGCACTTTGGGAGGCCAAGGTGGGCAGATCATCTGAGGTCGGGAGTTCGAGACCAGCCTGACCAACATGGAGAAATCCCATCTCTACTAAAAATACAAAATTAGCAGGGCATGGGGTGCATGCCTGTAATCCCAGCTACTCAGGAGGCTGAGGCAGGAGAATCGTTTGAACCCGAGAGGCAGAGGCAGAGGCTGTGGTGAGCCGAGATCATGCCATTGCACTCCAGCCTGGGAAACAAGAGTAAAACTCCGTCTCAAAAAAAATAAATTAAATAAATAAATAAATAATCAAACTATATGCTGTCTCAAGAAACTTACTTCAAATATGATGACACAGGTAGGTTAGAAGGATGGAAAAAAATATACCAGGCAAACACACACACACAAACACACACACACACACACACACACACACACACGGAAACTGGAATGGCTATGTTGATATCAGATTATGCAGACTTCAGTGCAAAAAAAAGTAATTGTGAAGAAAGAAAGACATTTCATAATGATAAAAGGGTCAATTCATCAAGACATAAGAATCCTAAATGGATAACACCTAACAACAGAACTTCAAAACGCACAACAAAAAAACTGATAGAATGAAAGGAGAAATAGACAAAATCCAAGATTATAGTTATAAACTTCACTGTTCTCAGTAATCAACAAAATTGGTAGACAGCAAGGAGCAGAAGAACTGAACAATACAACCAGTCAACTGGATCTGACATTTATAGAAACTCCACCCAACAACAGAATACACATTTTTTTTAAAGACACATGGACATTTACCAAGCTAGACCACATCCTGTTTTGACAAAACAAACCTTAACAAATTTAAAGAACTGAAATCATACTAAGTATGTTCTAAGACCATATTATACTGGAAAGAAATAACAGAAAGTTAACATGAAAATTTCTGAACACCTGAAAATTAAACAACATACTTCCAAATAATTCACGGATCAAAGATAATATCTCAAAATAAATTATAAAATATTTGAACTGAAAGAAAACGAAAATACGATATGTTCAAATTTGTGAAATGTAGCTAAAGTGATATGTAGAGACTCATAGATCAATGCTTATATTAGAAAAGAAAGGTCTCAAATCAATAAAGTAAATTTCCATCTTAAAAAAAAATAGAAAAAGAAAGCAAAAATAAACCCAAAGAAAATAAAACAAGAAAGAAATCAATGAACTTGAAAACAGAAAGACAAGAGATAAAACCAGTGACACCAAAAGCTTATTCTCTGGGAATGGGAAGTTCAATAAAATGGATAAATCTCTAGCAAGACTAACAAAAAGGGGAGAAGACAAATTGCCAACATCAGGAATGTAATAGGAGATTATCACTGCAGACCCTGCAGATAACAAAAGGATAAGGGAATACTATAAACAATGTTATAGATATAGTTGACAACTTAGATGAAGTGAACCAATTCCTCATTTGATAAATGAGTCACTTCCTCAAAAACCACAAAATACCAAGACTAAGATAAAATAGCTGATTTGAATAATCCTGTATCTATTAAAGCAATTGATTTTATAATTTAAATTCTTCTGGGAAAAAGTCTCCGGGCCCAGATGGTTTTATAAGGTAATAGCAAACATTTTAAAAATCAACTTCTCTCCCTGAAAAAGAACTCGATTTTATATAATCGTTTCCAGAAAACAGATAAGCGAATACTTCCAACTCATTTTATTAGGACACTATCACCCTGTACAAAATGTACCTCAATAAACAAATAAAGAAAATGTGCTACATATACACAATGTAATACTATTCAGCCTTTAAAAAGAAGGAAATCTTGTAATATGTGACAAAATGGATGAACCAGGAGAACACTGTTACATAAAAGAAGCCAGACACAGAAAGACAAATAACACAATCTCACTTACACGTGGAATCTAAAAAAGCAGACTGACATAGCAGTTACCAGAGGCTAGGAGGTGGAGGGATTGGGCAGATGTTGGTCAAAGGACACAAAATTTCAGTAGACAGGAGGAGTAAGTTCAAGAGATCTGCTATACATCTTGGTAATAGTGATGTTAACTATTAACTATACAGTTAATAGTGACATAGTGACATAATGTATACTTAAAAATTGTCAGCAGAGTAGATTTTAAGTGTTTTCACCACAAAAAAATACAAATATGTGAGGTAATGCATATGCTAAATAGCTTGACTTATACATGCTACAATGTACACATATATTGAAACATGTACACCATATATGCAATTTTACTTAATTAAAAAACTAAGAAAATAAAGATCCACACAAACAACAAAAATAAATAAAAAGGAAATACAATTCTACATAATCTTTCCCAGAAAACAGCAAAGAGGGCAACATATTCAGATTTATTTTATGAGGCCAGGCTTATCCAGTACAAAAACCAAAGACAATACAAGAAAACTACAGACCAATATCTCATGAAAACAGACATCCATTTGCATATACGAATGCAGACAACATTACTGATACAGAAAATCACAAACGAAATCAACAAAACACCCCCTAGAATTGATTAGTGAGGTTAGGTAGTTCAAAAAAATACCAATTTCTATATACTAGCAATTAAAATACAAAAATTGGGGAAAACATTTATAATAGCTCTCAAAATAAGTGAAATACTTAGGAATAAAATTAACAGAACATGTACAGATCCTGTACACTGAAAATTATAACACTGTTGAAGAAATAAAAGAAAACCTAAATACATGGGGAGATATACCATGTTCATGGACTAAAGTATCAACTTTCCTCAAAATTATCTATATATATAACACAACTCCAATCAAAATCTCAGGTATAGACAAACTGATTCTAAAATTTATAAGGACAGTAAAAGGAACCAAAATATTAAAAACAATTTTGAAAAAGTATACAATAGGAGGAATCATACTACCTGTTTTTTTTTTTCTTCAGACAGAGTTTTGCTCTTGTCATCCAGGCTGGAGTGCAATGGTGTCATCTCAGCTCACTGCAACCTCCCTCCGCCTTCCGGGTTCAAGTAATTCTCCTGTCTCAGCCTCCCAAGTAGCTGCGATTATAGGTGCCCACCACCACACCCAGCTAGGTTTTGTATGTTTTAGTAGAGACAGGGTTTCACCATGTTGGCCAGGTTGGTCCTGAACTCCTGACCTCAGGTAATCCCCCCACCTCAGCCTCCCAAAGTGCTAGGATTATAGGCATGAGCCACTGCGCCCAGCCAATACTACCGGATTTTAAGAGGTACTATATAAGGTTACAGTAATCAAGACAATGTGGTAGTGATGAAGAGACATACATATAGGTCACTAGAGAAGAACATAGAGTCTAGAAATAGACTTACAGAAATATAGACAATTGATTTTTGATAAAGCTTCAAAGACAATTCAATGGAGATAGGATAGCCTTCTCAACAAAGGATGCTGGATCAATTGGACATCCACATGTAACAAAATGAAACCTGACCTAAATTTCATGCCTTATACTAAAATACACTCAAGATGTCTTGACACTGGAAACACTGTCCATAACAGAAAACAAGTTGATACGTTAGGTTTTTTCAAAATTAAAAACTTCTGTATGAAAGACAATATTAAGAGAATGAAAAGACAAGCTACAAGTGGGAGAATATGTTTGAAAATCACATTATTTGACAAAGAACTAGTATCCCAAATACATAAAGAACTCTCAAAACTCAAGAGTAAGAAAACAACCCAATCAAAAAATGGGAGAAAGACTTCAACAGAAATGTCACCAAGAATTGTGTATAGATAGCAACTAAGCACATGAAAAGATGTTCAACATCATTAATCACTCAAATTTAAAATCATGCTGTGATACTACTACACATCTATTGAAATGGCTAAAGCAAAATTACTGACAATGTCAAGTGCTGACAAGAAAACGGAGCAACTGGAACTCATATATTGCTGGTGAAAATGCAAAATGGTATAGTCACTCTGGAAAAAAGTTTGACATACACTTATCACATGACCCAGCAATCTTACTCCTGGGTATTTACCCTAGATAAATGAAGCTTATGTTCACACAAAAACCTGTACATGAATATTTATAGCAGCTCTTGAATAAATACCCCAAACTGGAAACAACCCAAATGTCCTTCAATAGGTGAACGGGTATACAAACTGTGGTATATTTATACTATAAAATACTATTCAGCAATCAAAAAGAACATATTATTGATACATGCAAGGGCTTGGACGAATCTCAAAGGTACAGAACTATACTGAATGAAAGAAGCCAGTCTCCAAAGGTTACATACTATATGATTCTACTTACATGACAGTCCTGAAAAGGTAAAACTAGAGTGACAGAAAACAGACCCCAGACCAGTTGCTAGGGGTTAGGGATGTGGGGAGACTGTGATTACAAAGCGGTAGCACAAGCGTTATTTTAGATAATGAAGCTGTTCTGCATCCCAATCACAGTGTTGGTTACACAAATCTACGCATTTATTAAAGTTGATAGAACCAAAAGAGTCCATTTTACTATGTGTTAATTTATTATAAAAGGAAAGAAATATTAACATGAAAAAAAGTTATACAAGGGAAGAAAAAGGTGTAAGAGTGTACTATAATACTTGGCCAAGCCGCGAAGAGCATTTACATAGTCACAGTAATATAAATATTGAATGGTGATCTGATGGAAAGTTTGACATACTATATCAATAACATGGTAGGGGGAAGGGACAAAAAGGTTATGTTTGTGTGTGGTGGCGGTAAGGCAATGAAAGAGAACTAAGCCCTCATCTTTCATAGTGGCAAATCCACAGATACTTAAAACTGAAAAATCAGGAAATAACAACATGAGGATGTTATTTAATGAAAGAAACAGAAGTAAATTCCAAAAACAGCTAAAGAGATAAACGTGGTTGCTCTGGGAAATAGGAAATACAGGGGAAGGAGTCATGGGGGATCCTAAGTTTTGTATACATAAACATTTGATTAAAATAAAAATACATCCTCCAAAAAAGTTGTAAATATTTTTCCCAATGAGTTTTTCAAAATATAATTTCTTGATACTAGTTTCTAGCCACTGTATAATTCTTGAAGACCACCCCAAGTCACAGGATATTAACTAACACATCAAAGCCAGATACCTTTTTTATGATCAAGGTTATGTTGCTACAACTTTGGTATTGGTTATTATGAACGAATTTATTTATTTATTTATTTTATTTACTTTTTTGAGACAGAGTCTCTCTCTATCACCCAGGCTGAAGTGCAGTGGCATGATCTCAGCTCACTGCCACCTCCACCTCCCGGGTTCAAGCATTCTCAAACCCCAGCCTCCTGAGTAGCTGGGATTACAGGCACATGCCATCATGGCTGGCTAATTTTTTTTGGTACATTTTGTAGAGACAGGGTTTCATCGTGTTGACCATGCTGGTCTCGAACTCCTGACCTCAAGTGATCTCCCCGCCTCAGCCTCCCAAAGTGCTGGGATTACAGGTGTGAACCACCACACTTGGCCCAAGAATTTGTAATACTAAAAGCAGCGGGGTTTAAAGAGAGTTTATTCCCATCCTCTTCACTTATGAATTCAGTGTATTATATTAATTACATATTCAAAGACTATCTTTCCTTCTCCTACCTCATTTTCTTCCTTCAGATCATTTGGCTCTGGGTTGGACCACTTTGGATCTTCTTCAAAGCTCTTATTACAGGTTTTCAAAGAATCAAATTCAGAATCCTTTAATGGCTCCTTTGACTCAGATTTAAGATGACTTAAACACTTTTCATCATTAATATCTTGCTAGTAGATATGAAAGAGAATTCCTTTATTTTCAATATCAACGCTGTTTCCAAAATCTACATGCCTATACATTTTGGGGGGAAGTTTTTGCTACGGTTCACACAAATGCTACATTATTTTATAGCTTTATCCACGATCCTAGGTCTTCCCATCCTGCTATACTAGTTCAAGCCAATGAACATTTATTGAGCCTTTATTATGAAATGTCTACAAGACAGCTCTGTGAATACAAAGATGAATGTAACAGATTCTGGCTCTACTAAAGGAACTAAAAAATATTGTGGAAAGACCTAGAATCAGTCTTCTAAGTCCAGCCATCACAAAGATATGACCAAAATATGACTGATAGAAGAGGACATCTGAGAAGATGCAATGAAGAAGATAACACTTAAAAGATGAGTAGGAATTCACAAGGAACTGGGTGTAGAGATGTAGGTGTGTGTGTAGCATATGGGAGGCTTAATATGTCAAAGTACAGACTAGGGTGGAATAGTAGAGTTTTAAGCCCTTTCTCTTTTGCAGAAAAGATGGTTCTTATTTCATCTCCAGAATAAAACTATGATTATTTGAAGACATCAACAGAGTGATAGGATATTCTAAAAATATTAAAGGTTGAATTCAACTTACTATTTAAGAATGAAGAAACAGAATTCTCCTAATCCAGTAATAATGACTAAGAAAAATTCAGGCTTTGGAAAGTGTTATGGGCATATAAGCTTCATTAATTTTAACATTAGCTAGAAATCTAAAAAACTTTATATTTTTTTGAACATGCAGTAGGAAACATCAGTACATAATTTTCATAATAGGTAATCTCCCAGTAGTCAAAATGGCCTTTATCTTTTCTAATAATTAGTAAATGTCTACTCAAAAAATCATCTCTATAATTTTAAAAGTCAGATATATAAAACACATTAAACAAAATAATATTTTTACATTTTATTCAAAGGAAATAAAAAGACATTGTATCAATAAAACAAAACATTTTTGGCCCTCAAATTAAACACATCCTGTATTCTTAGCCCAGTATCTGTTGTTGTGAGGAATATAAGACTTGGAGAACATGGTTTATTTGTTCAAGAAACATTAAGTCCTCACCATATGCTTCACTTGCCTTTTACACATTGAGTATCCCTTACCTAAAATGCTTGGGACAAAAAGTGTTGCAGATTTTGGATAATTTTGGATTTTGAAACATTTGCATATACATGAGATATCCTGGGAATAAGACCCAAGTCTAATATGGAATTCATTTATGTTTCATATATACATTATATGCATAGCTTGAAGGTAATTTTACATAATACTTTAAATAATTTTGTACATAAAACAGTTTGGACTACATTTTGACTGCAACCTGTCATACAGGTTTAGGTGTGGAACTTTCCACTTGTGATATCATGTCAGGACTCAAAAATTTTGAGATTTTGGAGCATTTCAGGTTTTGGGTTTGTGCATTAGAGATGTACAAGCTGTCTGTATAATGAAGATACGAAAGTACAAACCTGGTAAGTTGCTGTAAAGATTAAATTAGTTAACACATGTGAATGCTTTTAACAGTGCCTGCCATGCGGTACAAGTTCAATAAATAATGCTGTTGTTCTTATTACTGTGACTGGAAAAAATACATAATAATATTATAATACTATTATTACTGTGAAGGGAGGAGTTGCTGAAAGTTTATAGGGAAAGTAAGAAACGAGAATACCAGAAGAACCTGTGTACTGCAGAGGGAAGAATAGCATTCAGAGTCAGTGTAGTGAAGTCACAACTGCACAAAGGCAGCAGTGGAATTTAGCATATAAGAGCAATTGTTCAGGAGGAAGCATGACTGAAGCAAATGTTTAAGCCAGCAAATAAAGAGACAAACGGTTAAGATCACTGTGCAAAATTTCCAAACTCCCCAAAATTTGTAAAGCCTTGGTTTCTTCATCTAAAAAAATGAGGATTACAGTAATAAAAAGAATTATAATAGTATTTGCAAACATCTCTTACCAGGATATGTAACTCACTCTCTTTTGACTGTGGACTTATCTTTCGGTCTTCATTAAAATAGTGCTGCTGGGAAGGATAACCCAGTTCTGTCAAGACAATGTCCTCTGGCCCTCCACTGGATTTCGTGTATAAAGCTAAAGGGTTGAGCTCACTGAAACCCTAAGATTAAAAAAAGAAAAGGGATGGTTTAATTTACATGACCAACAGAAAAAGGGTGAGAAAGCACTTAGTAACTTTCAAATACTATGGAAGTATATTATCTTCCGAATTTTATTTTATTTATTACTTTTTCTTTTTGAGACGGAGTCTCACTCTGTCACCCAGGGTGGAGTGCGGTGGCGTGATCTCGGCTCACTGCAACCTCTGCCTCCCAGGTTTGAGTGATTCTCCTGCCTCAGCTTCCTGAGTAGCTGGGACTACAGGCGCGTGTCACCACGCCTGGCTAATTTTTTGTATTTTTAGTGGAGACGGGGTTTCACTGTGTTAGCCAGGATGGTCTCGATCTCCTGACCTCCTGATCCACCCACCTTGGCCTCCCAAAGTACTGGAATTACAGGTGTGAGCCACCACGCCCAGCCTATCTTCCAAATTTTAAGTTAAAAATGTCTCCATTATTGACAGTTTTTGCTAGTTACAAAAATTATCAACATAACAGTGAAACAGATGCTATCAATAATTGCAAAATAGGAGTGTTATTCTTCTCTAGGACAACTTCAGATAACTACTTTTTATTTTATTTTTATTATTATTATTATTATTATTATTATTTGAGACAGAGTCTTGCTCTGTTGCCCAGGCTGGAGCGCAGTGGCATCATCTTGGCTCACTGCAACCTCCACCCCCCGGGTTCAAGCGATTCTCTGCCTCAGCCTCCCGAGTAGCTGGGATTACAGGCATGAGCCACTGTGCCCGGCCAGATAGCTACTTTTTAAATTAATTATTTAAAATAAAAGTATTCCCATTTCAAAGGACAATTAGTCAAATGCAGTTTTTCTGTGGTCATCTGAAAATTAAGAGTGCTTTGCATTAAAAAGCCAGGAATCTCATGGATGTCTCTAATTGGTTAAAGAATAAACCAAATAAACTTCTTTATTAAATTATCTTATACCTTGACGTGGTGAAATTAAACAAAATATATTACAAAATACATCCAGACTGCTCCACCTTAGAAGAGATATTTTCTCGGCATACAATAGCATGGCCCTCTGTTCTCAAGACATGATGGAAATAGATATCTTCGTTTGAGGATGTGTCACACAAAAAAATGTTAAGGATTCCATCTACATATTCATCCACTACCCCTACTAATGGCTTCAAACCGCACAACTTCTGGAACTGCAAAATAGCTTTCGATGTCCAGTGTTCCTGAAATATGATCAAGATACTGGATTCAGGTGATAGACCTAAACATGAATTATAATAACCATATACAACAATGAATTCTGATGAACTAGAGATTGAAGTGGAAATAAAACCATAAAAGTACTAGAATAACACATAGGAGGATATATATTATTTGGGGATGAGAAAAGTCAGAATAAAGGAAAAATGATAAAAAATGCAATTACTGAAAAAATTTAAATAATTATGTAATGTGCAACTTCCATTTTCAGAAACTGTGAGTTAGATTATTAGACCAACCCTCCCAAAGAAAACAACTAAAAATTCTAGATAAAAGAATTATGAAATATATCCAAAAGGCATCAAAGAACTGACAAGCTTGAACAAATTATCAGGCCAAAACTGAAGGGAAAATGGGAACTACTTTTGTCTTAAGGGAACCTGCTAATCCAGGTAATTTGAACTTTGGTTTTTTTCTTTTTGTTTTGAGACAGAGTCTTGCTCTGTCACCCCGGCTGGAATGCAAAGGCGTGATCTCGGCTCACTGCGACCTCTACCTCTCGGGTTCAAGCGATTCTCCTGCCTCAGTCTCCTGAGTAGCTGGGATTACAGGTGCATGCCACCACACCCAGCTGATTTTTGTATTTTTAGTAGAGACAGGGTTTCACCATGTTGGCCAGGCTGGTCTTGAGCTCCTGACCTCAGGTGATCCACCTGCCTCGGCCTCCCAAAGTTCTGGGATTACAGGCGTGACCCACCGGACGGTCTAACAGGTCAAACAGGACAGACATCAAAGCCGGGGTGCACCCATGGTGGGGAGTTTACAGGAGAACTTTCCTTCATTAAACTGAGTCCCTAAGGAGATACACTCTCAGGGTAAGGAAGGAAGAAAATAAATTATCCTTCACATGGATTTGCAGTTCAATTTTCACATTACCAGGGTGGTCTACACATCCTCAAGTTGTTAATTTAAATTAACATGGTCCCAGACTGGTAATATTTCTAAATATCTGGCAGAAGCACATGTAAATCCTTTCTGGATGTAGGCAACCTCAGCCTTTATTATTCAACCATTCTTCTGGTTAATTTTTCAAAGACAATGAGCAGTACATAGGCAAAGATAATAAAACACACAAAGAAACAATGACTCAAAAAAGAACAGAAACAATATAACAAATCCTCAATTTTAGATATTTTAACTTCTAGACAAATTATAAAACAACTAAACTTACTATGCTTAAAGCCAAAAAAACCCAAACAAAAACCAGTTCAGCTTGAAAGCTTCTGCAGAAATTAGCAATCTATAAAAATTGATCTAGCAGAACTAAGAAGTTTTAGAAGGTAAAAACATGATAACCAAAATTAAAAACTTCATAGGTTAATTCAATAACAGATCAGATATAATTAAAGAGTAAATTGGTAAAGGGTGAGGTATTTTGGAAAAAATTTCCCAGAATGCAGCATAGAAAGACAGACAGATGTAAAATATGATAGAAAGGTTAAGAGAAATGGAAGAAAAACTAAGAAGTTTTAACACTTTTAATTATGGTCCCAGAAAAAAAGCAGCAGAAATAAGAAGAATACAAATATAAATATGGGGGCCGGGCGCGGTGGCTCAAGCCTGTAATCCCAGCACTTTGGGAGGCCGAGGCGGGTGGATCACGAGGTCAGGAGATCGAGACTATCCTGGCTAACATGGTGAAACCCCGTCTCTACTAAAAATACAAAAAACTAGCCGGGCGTGGTGGCGGGCGCCTGTAGTCTCAGCTACTTGGGAGGCTGAGGCGGGAGAATGGCGTGAACCTGGGAGGCAGAGCTTGCAGTGAGCCGAGATCACGCCACTGCACTCCAGCCTGGGAGACACAGCGAGACTCCATCTCAAAAAAAAAAAAAAAAAAAAAAATATATATATATATATATACATATATATAAATATGGGAAATAGGCAGTAATTGAAGAGATAATGGTTGGGAATTTGCAAGATTAAAAAAAGTAACAAAACACAAAAGAAGTCTGATGAACCATAAAGTAGCATAAATAATAAATTCACACATAAACACATAACACTAATACTGAAGAACATGAGCAACTAATAGAAAATTTTAAAACACCTAGAGACAGAAAGGACACTACCTTCAAAGGAGAAAATCTATTAAACTGACAGCTGACTTCTCAGAAAACGATAAGGGAAATCAGAAGCCAGTAATGGTATCTTCAATGTGCTAAAGATACTAACTGCTAACCTAGAATTCTATACTTAGTAAATACATGTTTCTATAATAAGTGAAAAATAAATGATATTTTCGGAAAAATACAACTTTGCTATCAGCTGACCCTCATTAAATAAAATCCTAATCAAACGAAGGAAAACAGGTCCCGACAAGGGTTTGACTGAAGAATGAAGGGCAGAGAAATATATAATTAAATCTAAATTGACATTATTTTATGCAATTTCTTGAGGGGTTAAAAATGGTAACATTACACAACAAAAAGGTCAGAAGAGGAGGGTAAAGGAGTTAAAGTGCTCTAATATCCTTGCATTGTTATACATATTGTATTTCCTAGATCAATTATTAAAATAATAGTGTATTTCTTAGTGAATTATTTAAAAAATCTCTTCAAAATAAGGCATGCATAGTGAGAAAAAGAATAAGTAGACTATACAGTATACACAAAATAAAGTGTAAGAGTTAAACCCAGATATTTCAATTATTACAATAAATGTAATGACTCTAAACATTCTGGGTGAAAGACAAAAGGTATTAGCCTGGATTAAAAAAAATACAACTATATAGTTCATAAAAGACATATCTAAATATAAAGATACAGAAGGGTTGAAAGTAGAATGACAGTTTAAAAACAAACCAAGATAATATTAAATAGAAAATGATAGTTATATTAACAGCAGACAAATTTTTTTTTTTTTTTGCATTAGTAGAAATAAAAGAGGTTAACTTCATAATGATAAAACATTCGGTCTGCCAGGAAGATATAACAATTTTGGTACTGTATATGTACCTAATAATATAGCCTCAATTGTATACAAAAGAAAAACTGACTGAACTATAGGAAGAAATACACAGAAGAATAATCATAGACAAAAGCCACACTTCTTTCAATAATTACAGAAAAGCAATACAGAAAAATCAGAACGAGTAAGAGTTTCACACAATAAAGTTGACCTTATGGACATATATAAAATATTATACTCAACAACTGCAGAATATACACTTTTAAAGAAGACACAACCATTTACCAAAAGTGACACTATACTGGACCATCTAGCAGCCTCCTATTTAAAAGGCTGATACTATCCAGAGGATGATCTCTGACCACAGTGTATTTAAACTAGAAATCAACTACAAAAGGACAAATTAGAAAAATGTTTATAAACTGAGAAACTTCTAAATAATCCATGAATCAAACAAGAAAGCAAAATATAAATTAGAAAATATTTTTAACTGAACAATAAAAAAACTACTACACAGTAAATCTTATGAGATCCACTCATAAAACTTATGAGGCTAGAAATAACCTAAGCTTGCACATCAAGAAGTTAGGGAAAGAACAGCAAAATAAACCCAAAGAAAGTAGAATTAAGGAAACAGTAAAAATAAGACAGAAATAAACAAAATAGAAAAAAAATGTTTATAATAGAAACAAGAAAGCCAAACTTGGTTCTTTGAAAAAACTATTCAAAATGGCAAATATCTGTCTCTTTAGATCCTTAAAAAAGATACAAATACATATTTGGAACATAAAAGGACATATCACTACAGATGTCAACATCAAAAGGACAAAAAAAATTATGAACAATTTATGCCAAAAACAAAATTTAAATGACATCAAAAAAGTCAAGAAGGAATAAAAAATGAAAAGTCTACTATAAATATTAATTTTAATTTTTGTTGGGGTGGTAAAAGTTGCAACAAAAAAGATTAAAAAATTACTCAAAATTTACAAAATGAGTATTACATACAAACAAGTATATATTAGGTTAAAAATTAAACTTTTGAATAATTTCATGATTTGTAGCCTTTATACTTCTGTAGTTATTACAGCTTAAACTGCACTAAGAGTTTTGGGATAAATATATATTACATCAACATATGCTATAAACTCCAACATACAGTATTATCAATTTAGTTTGAAAGTTCTATGTCTTTTAAAGAAATTCAGAGAATAAAATTAAAAACAAGTTTTTCATATTTGCCCACATGTTAACCATTTTCCATAATCGTCATTCTTCCCTGTAGATCTGCATTACCATTTGGTTTCACTTCACTTCAGAATTAAAAGAACTTCCTTCAGTATTTCTTGTTGTTCAAGATTGCTAGTAACGAGTTCAGTTTTTACTTTTTGAAAATGTCTCCATTTCTTCATTTTGATAGATATTTTCACTAGATACAGAATTCCACCTTGACTTCTTTTTCTCTTTCAGATTTCAATGTTGTTCCTTTCAATGGGCAGTTAGTTATTATTTATATTATTGTTTCCTGAATTTTCCCCCTTCTTGTTGCTTTCAGGATTTTCTCCTTTCACTTTAGATTCCAGAAGTTTGATTATGATGTGTCTAGGTATGGTTTTCTTTGTATTTATTCTGCTTGGAGTTTGTTGATATTCTTGGATCTGAATATTGACTCTTTCACTACATTGTGGAAATTTTTGGCCTTTCTTTTTTCCATCCTATTCTCTCTCTCAACTCTTTTTCTGGGACTCTAATTACATCCCTGTTGGGGTAGCTGATATTGAACCAGAGACCAAGTCTCTGTCCATTTTCATTTTAATTATTTTTTATGCTCTTCTTCATATTGGATAATTTCTTTTGATCTGTTTTTAAAGTTCATAGACTCCTCCATTGTCTCTAAATCTGCTATTAAGCCTATGCAGAAACTTTTCATTTATTTCACTTTACAACTCCAGCATTTCCATTTATTTTAAATAGTTTCTTAATGTAGAAATTCCTTCTCTGTTCCTTAATGATGAGTAAATCTCTCGGTCCTTGAACATACTCATAATAGCTGCTTTAAAGTCTTTGCTAACTGCAATGTCTGGGACATCTCAATGTTGGTTTCTACCAACTACTTTTTTCCTTGAGTATATGTCACATTTTCCCGTTTTTGTTTTTTGTTTTTCCATGTCTAGTGATTTTTAGTTAAATAGTAAACATCAATATGTTTTAGAGCTTCTGGATTCTGTTACGCTCTTCTCAAGAGTGATTTGTTTTAACTGGCAGTTAAAACTGTCTGGACCCAAACTCTAAACTGTCTCGTATGCAGTCTGTAGCAACAGAAATCTCTGTTCAGTCACCTCAAATGCCAACTGTTGATTTTTCACCAGGCTACTGAGCTCTCCCCAGCACTTAAGATAGTTCAGTAGTCACCCAAGGATTTGGGCAGATCATATATAATGATTTGGGAACTCATCCATTCTGTGGTTCCCTACTTTCAAGTATTTCCACCCTAACTTCCAGCTGTTCTGCTATTTCCAAACAATGTCTTATAATTCTTTAAGACAGCAAGACTGCAGATTCTCAGAAAAGAAGCTTGAAAAGTCCCATTGCCATTTAACTTCTGCTTTTTTGCCTGCTTCTGATTTTGCTAATGGGCATAATAGTCTGTTGCTATTATGCTATTACCAAATGCATCAATTATTTTTTAAATCAGAAAAAAAGACACAGAAATAAAGTGAGATAGAGTCATTTAGTTAAAAACCTAGTTATTGAGCATTTACCACGCACAAAGCCATTGCTCTGGGCACTGGAGATTCAGTGGTGAACAAGACAATTTCCCTAATTTCAGGGGCTCACACGGTCATGCATAAACAAACAAGACAATATCAGATAGTGATAAAGCAGTATGAAGATAAAACAAGGTGACAATGAATAACTGAAGTGAAGTGTGCATTTTTAATTGTCAGGTCAAAGAAGTCCTTTTTGAGGAAATAACTTTTGGACTTAAATTTGAATGACGAGAAGGACAACTGTGAGATTACTGTGAATAAGCTATTCCAGCGATTAGAATATGCAAAAGCCCTAAGGCCAGAAGGAGTTTAGAAAGGAAGAAAGGAGGGCTGGAGGCGGTGGCTCACACCTGTAATCCCAGCACTTTGGGAGGCCGAGGGCGGGCGGATCACTTGAGGCCAGGAGTTAAAGACGAGCCTGGACAACATGGTAAAACCCCATCTTTACAAAAATAAAACAATTAGCCAGGCATAGTGGCGCACGCCTATAATCTCAGTTACTCAGGAGGCTGAGGCAGGAGAATTGCTTGAACCAGGGAGGCGGAGGTTGCAATAAGCCAAGATCGCGCCACTGCACTCCAGTCCAGGCAATGAAGGGAGACTCCATCTCCAAAAAAAAAAAAAGAAAGGAAAAAAAAAAAAAGAAGAGAACAAAAAATGGAAGCTATCTGACTGATATGAAAGTAATGAACACCGGCTACAACTGAGTCACAAATTTAATCCTGTGCTTCCTGATGGCAAAATAGTAAAAAGAAACTTATTCGGGAATCAAATGCAACTAAGAAAACAACCTTGAATACAAGCTTCCATCAAAAAACATATTTTGCATACATTGTTTCTAATAGTCAAAAATTAAAAGTAGTCTGAATGTCAAACAATAATGGTTAAACAGGCTATGATGCACATTTACCTAACAGATTACACTATGAATCCAATAAAATTGAGAACTTAACATATAAAAGTACTTACGCTATAATGCTAAGCAAAAGAGCAGAATACAAAATATTATTACTATTTTAAATAATGCTGAAAACCATACAAAAAACCCCTTGCTCCCAATATCCAATAAAATAACTGGAAGAAACATACACCAAATTTCTAAACTATGTATGTTTGAGTGATGGAATTACAGTAATTTTTCTTTTTTTTCTTCCTTTTTTTTGGGAGATGGAGTTTCGCTCTTTGTTGCCCTGGATGGTGTGCAGTGGCACAATCTCGGCTCACTGCAACCTCCACCTCCTGGGTTCAAGCGATTATCCCGTCTCAGCCTCCAGAGTAGCTAAGATTACAGGCACCCACCACCATGCCCGGCTTTTTGTATTTTTAGTGGAGATGGGGTTTCACCATGTTGGCTAGGCTGGTCTTGAACTCCTGAAATCAGGAGATCCGCCTGCCTTGGCCTCCCAAAGTGCTGGGATTACAGAAGTGAGTTTTTCTTTCTTCTTTACAGAATTTTTCAGATAAAAAATATTTTTAAAATCCATTTACATGTGAGCAACTGATAGATTAAGCAGACAAATACGGCATAATAAATGTACAGGTATTCGCTAGTAAGAGTTCTGAAGGAAAAATGCAAAGTTAGGTACATAAGATAATTATAACTACAAAAATGCACCTACATACATGAAAATGACTCCTGCTCCATTCCACCTCAAACCTCTGCCAAAATGTTGCTAGAGAATTATCTTGAAAACACGTTATCTGTCGGTGGCAGTTTCCTATTTACATCCTTTAGTTGCTCCCCAGCCTCTAAAGGATGACAATGTTCAGACTTCTGAACATGGGTCTTCACATTAGGCTCCTATTTCTTTGACATTTTCTACCATGTACCCACATTAGCTCATCCTATATTCTGTAGCCAAACAGAACTACTTAAAATTTCTCCCATTTGAGATGTTTCATGCTACTCTCTCTTTGCTTGGAATGCCTTTCTTTTTTCATCTAGTTATCTTCCTAATCTTCCTTCAAAGTGCCACTCAAATGCCTCCCTGATTACCTTGGACAGAAACAAGCAATCTTCCTTTTGCACCTCTATCATACATTCTTGAAACCTCTCCTATAGCAAATTTTATATGGCATAACAATTTCTGTCTACATGTCTGTCTTCCATACTCTATACACTGACTTCTTTGAGGGTTGGTTCTATGTTTTATCTTTATATCCTGAGCATGTAAAACTGTTCTTGGCACATAATAGGCACTCAAGTGTTTGCTGATTAAATGGGAGAGAAGCAAACATACCTCTACTGGTCTCACCCAAGCCAAAGAACAAGGGATAGCCTGAGCTGGAAGCTTTGTGTAGCAGCACCTGCAACAGATAATCAAATATATAAGTTAAATCTTCCTGCTATTTAAATGCACCTCTTAGCATGACCCAAAAAATCACTTTCTTAATAAGAGACGAAAACGTAGTCTCATCGTACATTCAAAATTCAGTGTCATGTAAAAGACAACACAAGAGTTACAATCCCTCTGTGAAACGAAATGACCCAGTTGTCAAATATGCACTAAGAAGAAAGAAGGAAGGGAAGGAAGGAAGGAAGGACTGGAGGGAGGAAGGCAAGAGAAAAGAGAGATCCCAACCCCACAGAGCTTCAACACTGCGATTCAAAATTTAATTCATCCATTGTTCTAATTCAATTCAACTCACTTGAGGAACCTCAGGGAGGACTTCTGAACAATTCCAATATTTCCAAAGTCTGGGTAGAATACTTCAACTTCCTGTTTCCCAAGGACTCGATGGATAATGACCCGATACCACCACTTATCCTCAGAAATCCTCACACAACAGAGATGTCCCGGCTGAATAAAACATTCTGGCATGACATATCGATCAGAAACCAGCTGATTAGAATAACAGCGCCTGTGGAATTCCATAATACAGAGAAATCCATAGGGGAAGAAAAAATTAAAGATAATTTTTATCAATGTATCAAGCCAGAAAGTCTTGGCAAAAAGCAAAGAAAAAAATTTTGACTTTGTCAAATTGTTAATGCTCATTAATACCAATTAATTGTTTTTTCTTATCTGAGTCCCATCTCTTCATCAACAAACTTCTTCAAAGAGAAACTTACATACTCATTTTCTGATCTCACATTCTCTGCTGGATAGAATGTACCCCAACTTCATTCCCCAGTACTTCCTAGGATAAATTAGTTTTAAGACATCAACGACTTGATGGCTCCCAAATCCAGCAGCCTCTCTCCTCAGCCTTCAATACACATGATCTTGCTGCAGCGTTACCCTGTCCTGTTTCAAACCCCTTCCTAGTTTCTAAGAGACAATTCTCTACTTCTTTGTCAATCGTTATTTTTTTACTGGCTCTGTATTGCATTAAATGTTGAGGTTCACTGGGGTCTTATCTTTAGGAAGTATAACATAAGCTTAGGAACCAATAGCCTGGGTCCAAATCCTGACTCCCTCATTTACCAGTTGTGTGACAATCTTTCTGTGCTTCAGTTTCCTTGTTCAGGATGGGGATGATAAAAATAAAACGTGCTAAAACATCTGAAAGTTTAGGACACTGTACACATATAGTAAGCACTCAAATATTAGCTATTGTTCTTGCTATATACTGTCTCACCCATTTTCATGTCTTATACCATACTACTGATCAACTGTTAATTCTCAATCTATCTCTAGAAGGCCCTGTATCCTTTCTGCACCTCAAAACTGGAATATTTCCAACTATATGGAAGACATGCTACTTGTTCCTCAATACCCATTCTCATCTTTCTCTTTTCTCTAGTAATAGATTCTCCCACCATTTAACTGGGTAAATGGTCATTCAGGTTTCCCAAGCTCTCCTGCATCTAGCTGTGGCTATGTGAATGCTAAATTTTGGCCAATGGGATATGAGCAAAAGTGTACATAGTTAAAATGAGTACATTTAATGTGTATTTTACCCACAGTTTCAAAAGTGAAAATTCTGAGTTGTGTCTTTTAATAAAACAGGTATCTCTCCCATCCCCCCACTTCTTTTTCCTCTCCCCACTAACTGGCAGGAGGACTGGGTGGTGGTAGTGGTCAGTCACACCCAAGACCATGTGAACAGGGACAACACACTATTCTGGAGCAGCAAGATGCTACACCTGTATCCCCCTCCCACCACAGAGCTATCATATCAGAATGTATTGTGTATATTTGGACTATTATGGGAAGAAGAAATAAACTTTTATTTTCTTTAAGCTACTATGATAAAGTTATATCTAACAGTGGCTAAACCTAATCCTAACTCATACCATCTATTCAACGTTGCCAATGACTCTCATGGTCAACTTAGAGACACCACAGGTAAACTTCTACTAATAAGCTTTCAACCCAGCTCAAACCTATCCAGTCTCTAAAGCAAACAGTTTTCATCATCTCCTTCCCTTTCTTATTCTTCTCAACACTCTTCTTGTCACCTGGCAATTTTCATTTTCCTATTTCTTTCTTCCTTTCTAGTCTCACTCTCATCAAGACTAATCCACCAATAGATCTTCGTCCCTTCACTCCAATGGCTTTCTTAAAACCATCAGTGCTTCCCCACTATCTACAGAATAAGATAAAACATCTTCCCATGGTATTCAGAATCTAGCTTTTTCTTAGTCTTTTGGCATCACATCCAGTCACTGTCTCCCACTTCCCGACTCCTGCAACCTCACCTGGTGCTAATGTCACTTCCTTATTGCTGTTTCCAAGGCACGCCACTTACTCCTTGGTTAATGTTGGCCTTGGTTCCAACGACTGGACCTGATTATACCTACTCATAACCTCCTTGACTGGCAAATTCTTGTTTTTGAGGCCTAGCTCAATTATCTCTTTTGTGAAGCTTTCCCCAACCTTGCCCAGGCAGAATGACTTCCTTTTACAATATCCCATGTATCTCCCATCTTCCTAAGCTAACCATGGTATTCACAAAGGCAAAGGACCATGTCTTACTTATCCTTGTAGTGCAAGTGCCTCAACATTCTGACACCAAGCACACACAGTAGTTACAGTATTTTTTTTTCCAGACAGGGTCTCACTCTGTTGCCCAGGCTGGAATGCAGTAGCACAATCATGACTCACTGCAGCCTTGACTCCTGGGGAGCTGGGACTACAGGCATGCACCATCATGCCCAGCTAATTTTTAAATTTCTTTTTTAGATACAGGGTCTCACTATGTTGCCCAAATGAATCTTGAACTTCTGGGCTCAAGCAGTCCTCCCACCTTGGCTTCCCAAAGTGCCAAGTTTACAGGCATGAACCACACTATACCCAGTCTATAGTATTAATAATAATAGCCGCCAACATTTGGGCTATGCTCCAAGTACTTTAATTTTTAGAACTCTGTGAAGTAGGCACTATTATTATCTCATTTTGGAGATAAGACAACTAGGCCCAGAGAAGTAAAGTAACTTCAAGGTCACAGAGCCAGTAAGTGTGCTTTTAAAACATGTACAAATGTCCCATAGGCATACTGGAATGGAATATATATTTTTACTAAGTGATCATGCGACTTACATTACGCCAGGTGTCCTGGAGTAGAAGAATACATACTGTTGTCAAGTTTAAAACATGGAATATTTTTTGAGATACAAAATAAAATGAAATAAATTATTCTTCTATAACAACAATATATAAATCAGACATTGTTGTTCATGAATAAATCTAAAGTGGTTGAAAATGTCCACATTTTACATGGTGTTTGCTATCAAAGGACAGTTTTTAGTAGAGAAAAGAGATAATGTAAGTTAGTAGTTCTCAAAGTATAGTCCACAAACATGATTTTGACCTGGAAGATGAACTAGCCATTTCTTTCATATCATTTTTGCTTTAAAGAACCACCAGAAAGTAGACTTGGGTTTCTGACACACATTTTTCAACAATGAAGCAAGCTTGTCACTTCAAGGAAAACAACTCACAGTACACGTTGTCAATGATAAAAATCAAACTTTCGAGTAAAAAGATTTTGGAAATGTTGCATCCACCACTGTGAGCTTGACAGCTTCCCAATACTAAATACTTTTCTTATGAGATCAGTGATGATATTGTGATATTTTTATACTGCATAATGAAATGTGTCAACATTTGGAAGATCCGCATAATTCAGCAAACTAGTTATTTCCAAATGACCAATACATGGTATTATAAAGTTGTATGACCCATTCAGGGACAGTCTGAATCCATGCTTAGAAGCAGCTTTGTCCTTGCTTTAATATTCTGCTGTTGCCATCTTGAAATTAGTAACTTTTAAACAGGGAGCCCTGCATTTTAATTTTGCACCAGGGCCAGCAATTACACAGCCAGTCTTAGATTCATTCAAATTCTAAAGGCAGACCAATGGGGTTTAACATAATAGAGTACAAAAAGTTCAAATTCCAAACAACATTTGAGAAACTACCATTTCTCAAGTTTTAGCATACTATCAAAAAAGCATATTCACAATTTTCTGAAAAAGCTGTTAAAATACTTTTTCCCAGACTACACGTTGGTGTGAGGCCAGATGTCTTCAGATACTTCAACCAAAACAACATATCTCAACAGATTAAATGCAGAAGCAAATATGAAAAGTCAACTTTCTTCTATTAAGCCAGACATTAAAGAGATCTATGAAAGTATAAAACAATGCCACCCTTCTAAATTTTTAAAGTTATTTTCATAAAAATGTTATTTATATTAACACAAGAATTATTTTAATATTAAAATTTTACAGTTTTAATTTCTATACAATAAACACTGATAAACAAAAGCTCTCTTGGGTCTTTAATTTTTAAGAGTCTTGAAACCAAAAAGTTTGAGAACTGCTAATTTAAGAGATATGTGATCTAGAACTAGTAATACCATTCAACCCAGCCATCCCACTACTGGGGACATACCCAAAGGATTATAAGTCATGCTGCTATTAAGACACATGCACACGTATGTTTATTGTGACACTATTCACAACAGCAAAGACTTGGAATCAACCCAAATGTCCATCAGTGACAGACTGGATTAAGAAAATGTGGCACATACACACCATGGAATACTATGCAGCCATAAAAAAGGATGAGTTTGTGTTCCTCGTAGGGACATGGATGCAGCTGGAAACCATCATTCTCAGCAAACTATTGCAAGAACAGAAAACCAAATGCCGCATGTTCTCACTCATAGGTGGGAACTGAACAATGAGATCACTTGGACACAGGAAGGGGAACATCACACACCGGGTCCTATTGTGGGGAGAGGGGAGGGATAACATTAGGAGATATACCTAATGTAAATGACGAGTTAATGGGTGCAGCACACCAACATGGCTCATGTATACATATGTAACAAACCTGCATATTGTGCGCATGTACCCTAGAACTTAAAGTATTAAAAAAAAAAGTTAAACAACACAACAAAAAAAGAGATACGTGAAAAACACATTGAAAACGACAGACTCCTACCGCATTTCAATCATCATGTCTTCGAGTAACTCTGACGAATCCCTGCTATAGATACGGATGTAGAATTGACTGGGAGAGATGATATACTCCACAAAGACCCCTACGAGGGAACTGGTGTCTAATGGTGGGAGTCTGCATAATTTCTTGTCCGGCACAGCATCTGGTGGGATGTCATGATTTGCCATTGCCAGGTTGAGCTGTGATTTGTTTGTTTCTACTTGCTATAAGTTAGGGAGAAAAAAAAAAAAAAACATTAAAAATCTTTTGGTGACATTTCAAACCCCATGGCATGTTTCTCAAAGTATATTTCATGAACCACCTTTATCAGAATCACTTGGGAAATTATACAAATACAGATTCTTGAACTCTAGCCCAGACTTACTGATTCAGAAGGCCTGGGAATGGGGCCCACAATTATGCATTTAAAAAAATTCTCTGGGTGATTCTTACCTATGTTAAAATATGGAAACTACTGCCTTATGACATTAGGTATAGAGTTTAAAGTGTTACACAATTGCCCTATACAAAATTGAAAATATGATACTTCAAACATTCAGGCTGAACCAAGTGAAGTCCTACTCAAACATATTGGCAGTCAAAGGTAACTTTAATAGGTTAAATTGCAGACTAGTCTTCCAATCAAAAGCAGGATTTGTCAAATACTCTCATTCTGAAACATACTGTTTTCCTCTAGGCCTTCTATTTTCCTCCAGAAAATATAGCAAGCTCTCCAAACAAAACTTTTTCCTTCCATGAAAGAAACCAGGTAGAGAGGGTAGAAGGGGAAAAGAGCAAGCAATGATCCTTAATAACAACAAAATAAGTAACGGGAGATGAAAACACAAAAATGGTGAATTGTGTGTGGAAGCAATAAAAGAAAAAAAAAAAGCACCCTATAATTGAGGATGGGTGTAGAGGCAATTTGCAGCAGTGTTGAGGCACACAGCCAAAATGAAGCCTCTCAATTTTTCCCTCTAAAGCCCCTGTGGGTTTTCAAGACATCATGAGAGAGCTGTCAACTCTCAAAACCATCTGAAAACTTTAAAATGAGCCTTGAGGAAAAGCAAGCTATATAAAAGACTGAAAACTAGAAAGAATGCTATATGATATAACTTCAGTACAAAGATGATTTCTTCTAATAAATGATATATCCAGAAATAAGACTTTTCTAAAAAGAATTTTGGTTTAAAGAAACATACATTTACTTTCCATAGTGCTGAATATCCAGTGCACAAAGTCTTTAAACCTCACTCACCAGCTGTAAAGGCTTTACTACCACATTAGGCTTCTTGCAAATCTTCTGTTGTGGCTCTTTTTGTTTTTTTGAAGGGCAATTCCATACAGTCTCTTTGACAGCAACAGTAGACAATGAATTTCTAGGTGGACTGGAGACACAAGCTTTGGCTTCTATTTTCTTATCTGATTGAACTAAACACAAATTTCTGACTGATGAAACAACTCCATCTCAAATGGCCAATACAGCAGCCTATGCATATTTGTTAAATAGCTGTACAACCATTACTAAGCACTTTCAACACACCAGATGCTAGAAAGACAATGAAAAATGAGAGATATAAACCTGTCTTTGCAGACCTTTCCGTGTGGCAAAATATAAGGGAAGTTCTAGATGGGAACAAATCTTAAATTATTTGTGCTGGGGGAGGGAGGCTTGTGATCTGATAAGGTATCTTAAACTTTAGTAAAAGACTTAATTTTTTTCAGCATCTTGATTTCAATTTACTTCTTGTTCAAATTAAACAGGGAACATTCTTCGTTGCTTAACATAGAACGTATGTACCTACTTAACATTCCATAATACAATTCCTTAATTCTTAGGAAATGTTAAAGTTAATAACGTATTGTGTTCAAATTTACATGTGTATGATAACTACAAGAGACTGGCACATTAAAACAGACTCCGGGCCGGGTGCAGTGGCTCACGTCTGTAATTCCAGGACTTTGGGAGGCCGAGGCAGGAGAATCACAAGGTCAGGAGTTCGAGACCAGCCTGGCCAATATGACGAAACCCCATCTCTACTAAAAATACAAAAATTAGTCGGGCATGGTGGCGGGCGCCTGTAGTCCTAGCTACTTGGGAGGCCGAGGCAGGAGAATCACTTGAACCTGGGAGGCGGAGGTTGCAGTGAGCCAAGATCGCACCATTGCACTCCACCCTGGGCAACAGAGCAAGACTCCACCTCAAAAAAAAAAAAAAAAAAAAAAAAAAAAAACAGACTCCAGATAGACCTACAAGCATGGTGACTACTTAAAAAATGAAGTCATAAGTACACAAAGATGTAGGTACAAGAATATTTGTCACTGTATTTTTTTGTGATGGTGAAAAACGGAAACAATCCTAATGTCCATCAGTAGAAGACTGGTTAAGTACATTATAATTATATGTAATTTCAAATGATGAAATAAGCTTGTTTGTACTAATACAAGAAACATCCACAGTATATGAAGTGTAAGAAACGAGGATTCACACAATACAGATGTCCACAGTGGTTTGACTTTCTTATGGTATGAAAGTGATACACATTCATTAGAAACCATACTTCCAGTACCCATACAACACTGTTTTTCACTTTCAGTACAGTATTCAATAAATTACAGGTGATATTCAACACTTTAGTATAAAATAAGCTTTGTATTAGATGATTTTGCCCAACTGTAGGCTAACGTAAGTATTCTGAGCATGTTTAAGGTAGGCCAGGCCAAGGTCTGATGTTCAGTAGGCTAGGTGTATTAAATGCACTGTCTGCTTATGGTGGGTTTATTGGGACAGAACCCCATCATAAGTTGAGGTAAATTTGTATTTATATACTACTGTTTTGTGTAGGAAAAATTATACATGTGATAATTAGCTATATCATACAGAAGAGGTCCAGAAATAAACACACTAAAACTATTAATGATAGTTACCTCTGTATTGTTGGAATTGTTTAAACAATCATGTGCAGCTTTTGTGATTTTAAAAAAAAAGATCTATGTCTTACATATTCATTGGAAAAACTCTTGGAGGCTATATAAATATTCTAACAGCATTATTTTGGGGGGGGATAAAATAATAGAAAATGTTCTCTCTCTACTCATCTGTGCTGTTTATATATTTTTAGAATGAACATGAGTTACTTTAATAATCAGAAAAATCAATAAAGGTAGTTACATTTGGGGAAAAAAAAACCTGTCTATCATAACCACTCATTCAAGCTTATAAAAATACAAGTACCATACTGCAATCTAGTTTTGTGAGGTGTTGCCACTGGAGAAACTGGGTAAAAGGTACATGGGATCATACTGTATTATTTCTTACAACTCCATGTAAATCTAAAATTATCTCAATAAAAACTTCAAAAGAAAAAGAAGGTTCCCCCATCCCCCAAAAAAACAAAACACAAATCAAGTGCCCTAAATGCAATGTGGTATTATCCTGGAGTGGATACAGAAACAGAAAAAGGACATTCTTGGAAAAACTGGTAAAATCAGAATAAAGTCTGGAGTTTAGTTACTAGCAATGTATAACGTTAATTCCTTAGTTTTGATAAATGTATCATGGTAAATAAGACATTAATATTAGAAGAAACTGGGTGACAGGTATATGGGAACTCTGTACTACCTTTATGATTTTTCTGTAACCTAAAATTATCCTAAAATTGAAAGTTTATTTTAAAAAATACAAGTGCTGGGTCCCAACGCACACCCATTTATTCTGCATCTCCATATATTTCTAAAAAGCTTTTGATGCACGGCCTGAGTTAAGAACCACTGCATTATCAGATCACCATTTTAGAAACTTTATTTCCTTCAGAATTATCAAAAAATCTACACAATGAAGAAAGCAAAAAAAATTTTTTGTTTTTGAGACAGAGTCTCGCTCGCTCTGTCTCCCAGGCTGGAGTGCAGTGGCATGATCTCGGCTCACTGCAAGCTCCGCCTTCTGGGTTCACGCCATTCTCCTGCTTCTGCCTCCTGAGTATCTGGGACCACAGGCACCCGCCAACACACCCGGCTGGTTTTTTTGTATTTTTAGTAGAGACGGGGTTTCACTGTGTTAACCAGGATGGTCTCGATCTCCGGATCTCGTGATCCGCCCGCCTTGGCCTCCCAAAGTGCTGGGATTACAGACGTGAGCCACTGCACCCGGCCGAAGAAAGCAAAATTTTAAAATTCAGATAATTTTTATTAATAATACAGATTAACCTTATTACAACAAATGCCACCAGAAAGGCGGTCATTATATAAAACATTTCATGGCTAGGCATTATTTCGTGTTTTCTTTGTCCTCATGAGGACAATAAAAATGAGGTTTGCATCATACTGTAGTTCTACTCACCAGGTGGTAGAGGCTTCTTATCCACATCAAATACTAGTAAGTCTTGCTGTCCTTCCCTGAACTCAACATGGAGAATGTCACTAAGAGCTCCAACAAGTTCTGTCACATTTAAGAAGCCTAATTTTTTTGGTGATAGTTGCTCTTTAAAAATCACCTGTCACAAGAAAATAGAAATTACATGAAACAGCATCAGATAACAGATATATAACATATACAGTTGTCCTTGGACAACCAAACTAAATCTTAAATGGTCAATGAACTCAAGTGTTAAAGAGTAAAGGCTCACTTCCATACCAGTACAAAACAAACCAAGTGACCAATAATCCCTTACCATAAAACTTCTAGGTCAATGTCAAGTTCCTTTTAGAGCATGTGGTAAACTAAAGTAAAAGTTAGGGTGGGCGCTTTTCACTTCTCATTTTTAACAACGTCTGAATATAAAGCAAGTCTTCTTTAAAAAAAAACAAGAAGGGAATGCACAAATTACAACAGTTGTAATAAAACTATTGGCATTTCTCTATTTTCCAATAAAGATAATATTCAATATCACTTTCAACATGTAGAGAAATTATTGTTTAAAAATATTTCCTTAAATTTTATTATTTCGCCTTAGAAGCTGGAATAAAGGCCAGGCACGGTGGCTCATGCCTGTAATCCCAGCACTTTGGGAGGCCGAGGCGGGTGGATCACAAGGTCAGGAGACCAAGACCATCCTGTCTGACACGGTGAAACCCCATCTCTACTAAAAATACAAAAAATTAGCCGGGCACGCTGGCGGGCACCTGTAGTCCCAGCTACTCGTGAGGCTGAGGCTGGAGAATGGCGTGAACCCTAGAGGTGGAACTTGCAGTGAGCCAAGGTTGCGCCACTGCACTCCGTGGGTGACAGAGTGAGACTCCATCTCAAAAAAAAAAAAAAGAAGTTGGAATAAATGAGCAGATATCTATCAGTGTATTTCACATAGCATACAGTTTGATTTTCTTGCCTTAGAAAAGAAGTCATACCAAATGAAGACAGGAGACAATATATATGGGATAGACACACAGAATACATTCCTTAAACAGAAAACATTTTATATGTCTTAAAAGGACCGTCTATCATCGGTTACTTATTCCATAGTCAAAAGCATCACCAACATTGTTTTAGTTTCACTCATCTATAATAACTCTATCCTACATAAATTCTTAAAACATTAAACAAAATCTACTCCAAAGGGTTAAAAGTGAAATGTTCTCCCAAAGCTGCCTTCGGTCTTCATATTTTGCAGCTATTGTAGGTATTATTCTAAGAAAGACAATAAATATGTTGCATTTATTGTATGTATTATTCTAAGGTGACAACTTTGCTTATTTCTGAGCCTAAAAAACAAAACCTGCTACATCTAAAGAGACTTTTTTGTTGTTGAATGACTTCTATCTTCATTCTTTAGATGCATTTCATACTGAAAAACTTATCGTGCAAATTATCTTTTTAATACAAATTTTAATGCTCTCAGTGGAAGACCTTCTGATACGTGTCCTCATCTTGGCTCTTCAGGTAGTCTCCCATTTGAATTTTAATATATTATTCTCCATCCTTTTGGTTTTTAAAGTGAGTAAGCTTCGGTTTCCTCAATTTATGTTGTGAATTTATTTTTGAGTTTTATATTGGGTTGTTATCTGCTAAATCGGTCATCAAAATGTTAAGTTGCCATCTTCCAGCTTTCTCCTCTGCACCAAGAGAAACAAGCAGATGAGAACACAGTGCTCATCTGGATTTCTCAATCATTTTGACTTGACAGCTCTTATTCAGAAATCACATTCTTCTTTAGAATTTATCTGTATTTTGGTAAACTGTAATGATGCTGAGTGACTGATTATTAAAAAGCAGGATGTGAGTTTAATCAGGAACTATTTTAAAAATAAACACTTCAGTTAAATTGGCAAAAAACAAAACAACAACAAAAAATTCCTCAGTCACCTAGCAATCACTTCCCTGGAAGTAATCAGTATTGCCAGTTCTTTGTTAAAACGTTCCAGAAATTATCAAAACTCAAACATGATTCAACATAATAGATTACATATACTAGGTTCATCTTGCTTTTTTTCAATTACTATATCAGTACATGAAACACAGTTGAGTTTTGCTATCTGATCCTGAGACTCAGTTTCTTTTAAAAGGTTAGTCAATTTATTATGTCAGATATATTTTATCCTAATTCCTTTGTTATGCTTTCTGCTTTACTGGCTCCCAACTATGAGCAATGAAGAAATTGATAGGCTGGGAACAGAGGCTCATGTCTGTTATCCCAGCACTTTGGGAGGCTGAGGCAGGAGGGACTGCTTGAGACCAGGAGTTTTAGAGACCAGCCTGGGCAACATAATGAGACTCTGCCTCTACAACTTAAAAAAAAAAAAACAAAACTTAGCTGGGCATGGTGGCATGTGCCTGTAATCCCAGCTACCCGGGAGGCTGAAGCTGCAGTGAGCTATGATTGTGCCACTGCACTCCAGCTTGGGTAACAGCAAGATCCTGTCTTAAAAAAAAAAAAAAAAAAAGAAAAGAAAGAAATTGATATATTTCTACTCCCACCCTCCATACTTTCCTTCCATCTTCAACCAAATTTTAATTATCCTTTTCTTAGAGTTTAGATTTATGCCTTCAAATATGTGTATATATCCTGTTTACATGATTTTGTTTCCTCAAGGTCTGACAATCTTATAGTACAAACACTTTATTTCCTGCAAATTAGCATAATGGATATCCCCACAGGCTTGATTAGATTTATGTTTGATCTCTTTGACAATACTATAAGTGATGCTATGTTCTAAAGAGGGGCACATAATATCTGGTCATCTCTCTTTTTTGTGTTGTTAAGAGCCATTATTAGTCAATTTCTAGATGCATTACTTTGAGAGTTTTAATAGCAGCATTCTGTCAATTCCTTTTCATTATTTAGTTGGAACACTCTATAGATGTATGCTTCCCCTCCTGTTCTTTGCTTATGCAGCTGTATAAATTAATTTAGGAATGCCAAGATAAGCGATTGGCTCTCTTTATTTACTTTTTTTTTTTTTTTTTTTTTTGAGACGGAGTCTCGCTCTGTCACCCAGGCTGGAGTGCAGTGGCCAGATCTCAGCTCACTGCAAGCTCCGCCTCCCGGGTTTACGCCATTCTCCTGCCTCAGCCTCCCGAGCAGCTGAGACTACAGGCGCCCGCCACCTCACCCGGCTAGTTTTTTGTATTTTTTAGTAGAGACGGGTTTCACCGTGTTAGCCAGGATGGTCTCGATCTCCTGACCTCGTGATCCGCCCGTCTCGGCCTCCCAAAGTGCTGGGATTACAGGCTTGAGCCACCGCGCCCGGCTACCATTTTTAAAGAAAGTGAATTAGTTCCATCATCCTCTATGTTGAGTCATCAGTTTTTTTAGTATCATATAAACTCATAGAATTAAATATATTTGATGGGCTTCAAAATATTGCAATTATTATCCTTATTGTAGCCTGAAATAATTCTTCAAGTGAATTCCTAAGCTATTTAATGTGAACCTAGTTTTATTTTATTTTTTTAATTTTTTTTATTTTTATTGTTATTATTATACTTTAAGTTCTAGGGTACATGTGCACAACGTGCAGGTTTGTTACATATGTATACTTGTGCCATGTTGGTGTGCTGCACCCATCAACTCGTCAGCACCCATTAACTCGTCATTTACATCAGGTATAACTCCCAGTGCAATACCTCCCCCCTCCCCATAATAGGCCCCGGTGTGTGATGTTCCCCTTCCCAAGTCCAAGTGATCTCATTGGTGAACCTAGTTTTAAATAGCTTCCTTGCTGGTCTGGTATGACAAGACGTTCCAAACTCAATTTATGTAACTAGGATATCCTTGTATATACAATTTGAATTATCTCCTAATTATTCATTTGCTTTATATCAAATTATACAACAATGGTCTCAGAATACTACCACCAATATAATCAAAACAAAATAATCTTGCATATGCTCACCCTTTCTTCTTCCACTATTTTGTGTAACTGTACTTTGTCTACATTAACAGAGTACATTGCCACTAAATACTGCATTCTCTCCCCCCAACTCTCATTTGATCTTAGTTATATAAATGGCATTCACTTTCAGTCCTTTTATCAATGTCTCTCTAGTGTGATTTTGGTTTTCTGATGTTCATTCTCCAGTAGATTCCTCAGGAAGGGCTCATGGGAACAAGAGTTCTTGAATTCTTGCATGGTGATAATAGCTGGTCTGGCTCTCTGGAACTGAAAGTCAGTTTTGCTAGCTAGAGAATCTTTGGCTCATGCTTTGGGTATATAAAATAAGTTACTCCCTTTTCATCTAGCTTAAAACATTGCTGTGAGAATGTCTAATAATTTAACTTTTGTTTCCTTTATAAGTCACTTGCTGTTTTTGTTTAAATGCCCAGGACAAATTTTTTTCTTTTAAGTCCAGAAATTTGATATTTGGTCATTCTGAGTTGATACTGTCAGATATGCAGTGTGCTCTTCCATCTAGTCTCAAATCTTCCATTCCAGTAAGGTTTACTTGAATTCTAGTTTTTAGGATTCATTCTGTTTCCTTCTTTGGCTTTATTACTCATGTTGGCTCTTCTTTGCCTGCTTAATACCTGTCATTTTCTCTTGAATCATCTTTATCTTTCCTTTTTTTCCCTAAGATTTTCTTACGTAAAATTTCAAACAGAAAAAGTTGAAAGAACTGGATACTGAACTCTACCACTATAGAGCTGCTATGTCATCTGTGTATCCATCCATCTACCAACCCATCTTATCTTTTATATACATTTCAAAGTGACCTGTAGACATCAGTAGCCTTTACCCTAAAATAGGCCAGCATTACAGCATTAACTAGAAATCAGTATCTGTTCACTTTTAGGTAAAATTTACACAAGTGAAATGCACACAACTTAGGTTTCCCAGTCAATTAGCCCCGATAAATGCAGAATTGCGTAACCCAAACCCCTATTCAAGATACAGAACACTTCCATCACCTCAGAAAGTTCTCCCTTTCCCAGTCACCCCTAGAGACAATTTTTTCCACCACAGATTATCTTTGGCTATTGTATTATTTCATATAAAAGACATTCTACAGTATGCTGCTGTGTGAGACTTACTTCAGCAACTATTTTTCAGATTCATCCACACTGGTTCATGTATCAGCTGTTTACTTCTTTTTAATGTGGAATAGTATTTTGTTGTACAAACATACCACAATCTCTTCATTCATTCCCTTATTGATGAATAGTAGGGTTATTTCCAGTTTTGGGCAGCTATAATGTATAAAGCTGTTATGAATACTCTTTATCGTGTAAGTCTTTGAGGACACAGACTTTGAATAAATATCTGGGCGTGTAATTCTGGGTCAAAGGACAAATACATACTTACAGGAAATTGTAAGAACATTTTCTACAGTAGTTGTACCATTTTATACTTCCACCAAAAATGTGAGTTTATCATATGTTTATCAGTCACTCATATCTGCATTTGTGAAGTCTCTGTTCAAACCTTTGGGCCATTTACAAAAAGAACTGTTTGGCTTTCTATTATGGAGCTATAGACTGGTCTTTATGTATTCTGAATATAAGTCCTTTGTTAGATGTATGATTGTAAATATTTCTTCCCAGTCTGTGGTCTGCCTATTCAATTTTAAATGGGGTCTCCTAAATAGAAGCTAATTTTGATGAAGTCTCATTATCAGTTTTCTTTTAACTGAATACTGCTTCTGTATCCTAAGAAACCTTTGCCTGTCCAGGTCATTAATATATTTTAATTCTTCTAGAAGTTTTAGAGCTTTAATTTTTTCATTTAGGTCTATGATACATCTTGAAATAATTTTTGTACATGGTGTCAGGTTGAGGTTGGGTTTCTTTTCTTTTTTTTTGTATTCAGTTGTATCTTGCGTTCAGTTGTTCCAGTATCATTTGTTGAAAATATTTTTGCAAGCTCCTGGTTTTAAGTAATCTTTCTGTATCAGCCTGCCAAAGTGCTGAGGTTACAGACAAGAACCACCATGCCCAGAGCTGAAAATACTTTCTTATCCCTTTTGAATTCCTTTGGCACCTCTCTCAAAAATCACTTCAGTGTATATGGGTGGATCTCCTAAGCATGTACTGTATAGCCAGACAAATTCATGGATTTGTTAGTATCTACAAATAGCCTGCAGGAATTTTGATGGGGACTATATTGAATCCATACATTAATGTTATCATGTTCATATGTTATCAATAATGAGTCTTCTCACCCATGAGTATGTAATACCTCTCCATTTATTACTCTTCAACTTCTCAACAATGTTTATTAGTTTTTGGTGTACATGATTTATGTTTCTTTTGTTAAACTTATTTCCAAGTAATCTCACGATATAATAAACAGAATTTTAAAAATTTCATTTTCTGATAGTTTGCTACTTACATATGAAGATACAATTGATTTCTGTATACTAACCTTGTATATTTGACCTAATAAACTAGTTCTAGTAGCTTTTTTCATGGATTCCTTAGTATATTCTACATGAACAATCATGTTTTCTACAAATAAAGTTTAACTTTTTCTCTTTTAGGTTTTCATGCCTTTTATTTCCTTTTCTTATTACACTGGTTAGAACTTGCAATACAATGTTGAACAGAAGCCGTATGACTGGATATACTTGCCTGTTCCAGATTTTAAGGGCGAACTGTTCAGTGTTTCACCATTGAGTATGACAAGTATATTAATAGGTTTTCACCAATGCACTTTATCAGAATGAGGAATTTCTTCTCTATTCCTAGTTTTCTGAGAGCTTCAATTGTGGATGGGTATTAAATTTTGATAATTCTTTTTCTGCAGCTACCAAAATAATCACATGGCTTTTCTTCCTTATTATTTTATTAAAATGGTGAATTACCTTAATTCCTTTTGAAATGTTACCTCAACTTTGCATTCTGAGGATAAACCCCTCTTGTTCAGGGATTGCTGAATTCAATTTACTACTGTTTTGTAATAGACTTTTTGTGTCCACGTTATGAGAAACATGTCCTAATTGGTTTCTTGTAATGTCTATGTCAAGCTTTAGTAGCAGGAGAATGTATTCATAGAATGAGTTGGGGAGGCCAGGCATGGTGGCTCATGCCTGTAATCTCAGCGCTTTGGGAGGCTGAGGTAGGAGGACTGCTTTAGGCCAGGAGTTAAACACCTGTCTGGGTAACACAGTGAGACCCTGTCTCTAAAACAATTTTTTGTTTTAATTGGCTGGGCATGGCGCCACATGTCTGTAGTCTCAGCTACTCAGGAGGCTGAGGCAGGAGGACTACTTGAGAGCAGAAGTTCAAGGCTGCAGTAACCCAAGATCATGCCACTGTACTCCAGCCTGGGTGACAGTGACTCTTTAAAGGAAAAAAAAAAAAAAAAGAATGAGTTGGGGAGTATTATCTGCTATTTTAAGAAACAATCTGTATATGACTAATATAATTTCTTCCTTAAATGTTTTACAGAATTCACCAGCAAAACCAACATACATCCTTTTCAGTCTTACTGTACCACTTCAAATAAAATATAAGAATCTTGCAACCCTATAGTTCCAGGTACTGCCCCTCCACTCATTATGCAGTAGTTTTCATATGCATTACATGTTCATGTTATAAACCCAATTATTTAATGCTATAATTTTTGCTTTAAACAGTCATATATTTTAACTGATCAAAAAAGGCAGTCTTTCATATATGCCCAGATATTTACTACATCCTTTATTCAATCCTTCCTGAAGATTAAAGTTCCAATCTGGCATTATTTCCTTCAGCCTGAAGAATGTTATTTAGCATTCTTATAGTATCAGTCTGCTTGCAATTCTGATTACCTGAAAATGTCTATCTCATCATCTTCATTCTTGATATTATCACTGGATATAAAATATTGGGTTAACAGTACTTTTCTTTTGTGTACATTAAAGATGTCATTCCATTGTCTTCTAGCATTGCTTCAAGAGGTCAGCCATCATTTGTATCACTGTTCTCCTGTATGAAGTGTGTTATTTTTAGTCTGGCTGCTTTCAGAATTTTCTACTTATATTTGGTTTTCTGCATTTTTACTATGATGTGCCTATGTAAGGTTTTCTCTGTATTACTTGTTTGGGGTTTTCTGGGCTTCTTAGATTTATAAACTTCTTTCACAAGATTTGGGAAACTTGGGTCATTATTTTTTCAAATATATTTCTGCTGTGCTTTCTTGGGCTCCAATTATATTAATAGATACATTAGACCATTTGGTATTATTCCACAGGTCTCAGGTCACTCAAGTTCTGTTTTGTTTCCCTGTTCTTCAAATTGGATAATTTCTATTGATCTGTCTTGAAGTTTACTAATGCTTTGTTCTGCCATTTTCAATGTATTAGTGAATTTTTTTACTTCAGATATTTTAAGTTGTGAAAATCACTTGGTTTTTATAGTTTCTTTTTCTGCACTGAAATATCTTATCTACTCATTCACTCTGAATACATATTCCTTTATATCCCTTTAATATAGTTAAAAGAGTTACTTTAAAACCTTTTTTGCTGACTTTAATAACTGCACCATCTCAGAGTTTCCATTGATTACCTTCTCTTTGTCAAAGGGTCACATTTTCTTGTTTCTTACTATATCTAGTAATTTTGTTTTGTGTTCCAGGCATCATGATAGATGTATTGTAGAGAATCTGGAATCTTTTATGCTCCTTTGGACAGTATTGTTTAAGTTTGGCTGAACTTCAACCCAAAATCTGCCACCCTGTGTTGGGCAACAGCTGAAATATCTTCAGTTCTTTCAGCCTTAAAAGAACAGAGGCTGCTCTATGTCTGCCCCAAGCATGTGCAGTTAAAGTTCAGGCAGAGAGCTGAGCAGAGCTTATGTGCCAGACACTGTTCTAAGTGCCTCATTTTTAAGTCATTTGAACTTCACAAAACTCTATAAAGTAGGTATTATCTTGACCTAACATATTGTCTATAAGATAGCACATAGAATTATGTATCTTAACCATTAGGTTATACTATTTCACAGTATCTATGTTTTTACCTATAAATATCCTACAGTTTTCATGGCACAGTAGTTAAGAGTTAGAATTCTGAAGCCAGACTGCCCAGGTTAAAATCTTGGCTCCACCTATTACCAGATGTTTGATGCTTAAGCAAGTTACTTCTCTGTGCCTCTATTTGTTGTGAAAACAAAACGAACATAACCCAATATGGAAGATGCTCTGAATAGAGCCTGGCACACAGTTAACATATGTATAGGACTTATCTTTTTAAAAACTGGATATATGGCATTATCTGAATTATTCTCCAACTTGATTTTTTTTCACTCAATATTATGGTTTTAAAAATCATCCATGTTGCAGAGCAGATTTATTTTATACTACTACATACAATTCCATTGTATAAATGTCAATATCCACTATCCTACTGATGACCGTTTGTTTCTCATTTGTTCCTATGTTGTGCTGTGCACTTCTTTACACGTCTTCATGTGTACATGTGCAAGAATTTCTCTAGAGTGCAAATGTAAAAGTGGAACTACTGGATCCTTGAGGGTGCACACCTTCAACTTTACTTGATAATGCCAAAGTGCTCCCTAAGAGCATTTTGTCCCACACACAGTGTATGAGGTATTCTGCTTCTCTGCATCCCCACTGACACTTGGTATAATACTGTCAGACATTAATGAGAGAATCTTTATTCTAATAATATTGTAACAACAAGTGGTAAAAATATCCTTCCTATACATAATCAACTATTTGTTAAATATCATATTCTCAAGTCTCATAATAAAGGCACTAAAATGCAAAACAAAATGCTTCCATTTTAGAGTATAGACCTGGAGAATCCAAGGAGTAGCTACAAAATTTCCATCTATCACAAGAAATATAAACCATAAAAAATTAGGGTTGGGGAAAAGCAAAACACTTACCTCATACTCTCCAAGCAGTTTAGAAATAAACAAACCCTCTGGGAACTTAGATACAACCTAATAAATAGAAAGTGAAATACAATATAGACACAACTGAAATGCTGACTGACACAATATTAAAATAATATAAACAAATAACAAAGGAAAAAGTAACATTATTAAATGAATTTTAGTCATATTACATTGTTTTTTAAAAAATGATTTTCCAGTTTTAAAAAACATCAGAACAAAAGAGACTGTGATTTCCAACATTTCCAGAGTTGAGAAATCATTATTACATGATATTGCAATACCACAACTCTCCAGAAATTCCTGCACTTCTTTAAGCTCAGCTAACACATTTAACTTCAGCTCACATAAAACATCCTATAGCACAATTTCAATCATTTTAATTACTAGAAAAGAAATGCAATAAACACTACAAAAAACTTTGGAAAATACAGTTAAGCAAAAATAAGATCTGTAAACAGCATTATTGTCCATAATGAACATCAAAATATCTATTTAATATTAAAATAAGTCAATATTTCTATAGCCAGCTTTTAAGTATCATACCAAAGACATCTTTCCATGTCAGTAAAAACAGATAAACAATTTTACTGGCCACAGATATTTCAAAATATTAAAGACACCTAAATTTATTTGATCTTCTATTTTGTTTCTTATTTTTCATCCCAAATATTGCAATGATTATCCTCATGCCTGAGTTCTGCACACTAGTTCAACGATTTTTAGAATAATTTCCTGAAAGTAGACTTACTCGATCCCAATAAAGTATAAAAATCTTTGTTTTCTAAATTTTTCCAGATATATTTTATACAAAATTCTAATTCAAACTTCAGAAAAATATAAAGTAAAAATTATTTCAAAATCCTGTGACCCAGGGACAGCCATTGCTACATTTAAAGAAACATCCTTTCAGAAACCCCTGTATGTGTGCACATATGTTATTCATGATTTTATATGAAAGAACAATTCTAAACACACTATTCTCTAAAACCTGCTTTTAAAGTCCAACAATATGTCAAGGAGAAACTTCCATGTAAACTAAGAGAGACATACATAAACTTTCTTATAAGCTACATGACATCCCTAGTTTGGAGAATATCCAATATCGATAAATAACCAATCCTTTAAAATTAATGCCTAATTTTTCTCTAATTTTTGGTACCACAAAAAAATCATATTCACTCTTGTAAACGCAGCCTTTGGGAGGCTGAGGTTGGGGAATGCCTAGGGCCAGGAGTTCAAGACAGGCCTGGGCAACACAGCAAGACCCTGTCGCTACAAAACCTTTTTAATTAGCTGGGTGTGGTGGCATGCACCTGTAGTCCCAGCTACTCAGGAGGCTGATGCGAGAGGATTGCTTGAGCCCAGGAGTTGATGGTTGCAGTGAGCTATGATTGCACCACTGCATTCTAGCCTGGGTGACAGAGCAAGACCTCATCTCTTTAAAAAAAAAAAAAAAAAAAAAAAGTCATATTGAACATCCTTTAACAAATAATGATTGGACACTTGCTCAAGTGTCTAAACAAACAGACAAAAACAGGCCTGAATGCACCAAGGTTTTTACATCTAGTAAAATCATGACAGTTGAAATGGAATAATATAAGGCAGTACAAGTTGTAATAGCACCTTGATTACTCGAAGCAAGATTAACAGCTCCCACCAAAAATTTAAGTGTACATAACTCTTTGGCTCAATACATAACACCAAAGAGCTTTCCCTTATTAGTAAGGCAAAACAAGTAAGACCAATGACATAAACAGGCAATTCACATAAAAAATATATATGACTACTAAGCATATGAAAAGATGCTTAATGTGAAAATCAAAGAGATAAACTAAAACAATGTGATTGGATAATAACACCTGTCAGTGGGAGTATAAATTTGTTCAAGCATTTTAGAGGGTGATTTAGTAATATTTATAATCAAAACATAAGATGCCTCTGACTAGCAATTCCACTTCTAGAAAAATGTCCATGGACATTCACTGGAGTACTTTTTCCACAGCCAAAGATAAAAACGCCAAAACTTTAATCAATCATGGATCTCTACATGAAACAGGGTACATCAATATAATGGGATACCACACACTAGAATAATATTTAATGTACATTTATAAAATTGGCATTTGGAAAGATCTTGAACTGTTTGTCAACAGTGATTTATTGGGATGGGGGGAAGAAGGAAAGGAAGACAGAACTTATGGAAGAACTTATTTGCTGAATAGTTTTACGTTAAAAATTTTTAGGAGTGCGTATTTTGTTTCTTTTTCTTATTCTAAAAGAATTGTCACTTAGTTTGCAGTATATTAGAAAAGATTAGATGTAAACTAATACTTGCAGACAAACTCAACCACAAATGATATATAAATTTATAAATCAATTATTATTGTCTCACAGAAACAGAAATTACTTACAAATTTTATCTTATGTTTTAGTTCTGAACTGATAGTTCCTCCAGGTCCAATTTGTGCAATAACTGATTTGAATGTGTTCTCCAGCTATGAAAAAAAAAAAAAAAGTCAAGTCATAGTCCCCCTGCCCAAAGAAAGTCAAAGGTAGATCTAAACAGTATGTAAAGAAAAAATGTATAAAAGGAGACATATTGTAATTAAATAGACAAAATACTGTTCTTAAGAGGAACTGTAACATTTCATACCGTATGAAATACACTTAGAGTAGATAGAATCATTATGAAACTAAATACTGAGGAATTTTCTAGGTTAACTAACATTCTCTAACACAATTATTCTAAAGTCTATTACTCAATCCCATATTCTTACCCAGAAAGAATTGTTACTAATTTTCTATTTATGAAAGTATTCCATGTTTATTACAAAGAATACTTAATGAATGCCTAATGCAGGGAAGAGATGGGATGGTGGAACGTTCCTGGATGGTGGGACAACTGGCCCTAAAGGGCAGGAAGGAAAAGTTTTTCTGTTGTAATAGAAGCAAAGAGAGTGGGGGAAAGGGTAAGGGTACAAAGAAAGGCTCTGTGAATGTGGAGTCAGAAGTACAGACAGTTAATATCTGATAGCTCCTGCATTCTCTGAGTTCAGCAGCAAGGCCCACTCCTGAAAGTAGAAGGAAAGAGGAGGGAGGTCAGACATTTCAGAAAGTAGAAAAAGTGGGAAAATAAAGTTAAGGAAATATTGGATGATAACCTGAACTTAGCAGGTAGGAAGTGAGGACAGGAGGAATCTGAGTTAAGACAGTAGGAGTCTGAGGATTTTAGTAGAGAGAATTCAATGGCATACAGAGGCCCCACTAAAATAAAATAATCATGCATGGGAATAATTGAAAAGTAAGCTGGAAGGACAGGAGGATGTGATCAGAAAGTAGCAGGGAGAATATCCATTTAGCCAAGGTCCAGTGAAGAGCCACAGCAGGAGAACTAAAGCAGAGTGAAAGATTGTGGAGTTATGTTCAGTCGACATTAAAGTTGATAACTGAATTAAAAAAAAAAAAAAGTTAAGTCACAAAGATATAAAGAAAAATACCAATTACCTAAAATCCTACCACCCAGACATAATCACTATTAACACTTTTTCCTTCTCAACTGTTTCCTTTGGTCTTTCTTCTTACTCTTACTTGGCCTGACATAACTTACAAACTGTGTGCCCTTTTAGGTCTCAGTTTCTTCACCCGAAAAATGAAGACAATCTCCATCTCTCACAAGGCTGACAAGAAAACTAAATGTGATGAGGCACAAAGAGTGCATAACATAATGTGTGGCACATGGTGTGAGCATGACCCTTGCCTGCTCCCCTGGCAAGCAGCGCTTACCATTGCAGGATTCTCCCTCTGGCACTGACTACTCTTCTTTTCATCCAATATCATTGGCACAGCATTCAGCGGAAACCCCTCCAAGTTTTGGCAAGTGCATGGCTCCCTATCAAGCTTCTGAGGGTTTTCCCCTATTTTCACATTTTCTTGGGCATTTGCATGGGTCTGGGAAAGAGAGGATTAGATACCTATGATTACATCATTAGCTTTAACAAAAGGTCCTAGCCCTTAGTCTTAGATTCTCATTTCTTCTGTAGTTGCCATGCGATAATTTCCTAAAGGTCTCCCAGTGATCAGTAAGATAATCTTTCTAAAGATAACTGATCTTTCCATCCCAAGGTTCTCCCGCCATTTGAAGATTCGATAACAATAACGTATTAAATTATCACTGTGCTAGGTGTTTCAGGGACAAAAATGATTACCTTTGACGGTGTAATTCCTCTCAAGGCACTTACAATTACGTAGGAAAGTGAGATCAACGCATAAACATCTATAACCTAAGGCTGTAAGTACCATTAAGCTGTAAATACACAGAAGGCTTCCTTTTGTAAGGACCTTGCAGGGTGGAGAGAATTCTGCAGACAGACATGGTAGAGAGAACACTGAAGGTAGAAGGAACTTCATAAAGAAAATTGAATAAAATAGTTTGCCTAAGGCATTAGGGAAATAGTGAAAGAAAAACTAGAAAGGTAGATTAATGTCCTATTACAGAATACCTTAAATGCCAAGCTAAGAAGTTTTTCTTGGTTATACAGGCAAAAACAGAGATACTGATACTAGAGATTTTTAGCAAGGGAAAGAGATTATCAGAACTGTAATCTGGCAACAGAAAATTAGATTGGATGGGTGAACAACCAGTTAGGAAACCACTGCAACTCTCTAGGCAAGAGTTTTAACTGGGGTGCTGGGAGAGAATAGAAAAAGAAGGGATATGACAAAGGTGGAATCCACAGAAATTGGGAAAGACAATAGAGAGGAAGGATTCTACAGGGATGAATGATGAGACCAGAAACAGCCTCAAGGACCTCAAATTCTGTGTAGGAAACAAAAGTACCATGGAACAGAGAGGCTTTTGTTATTTTTAAATCAATTCTAAAAGTTTGGAAAACTGGGAGCTAAATGGCAGGATGGTGATTACAGACTTGATGTGTCTCTCTGGATCATGGCTTATGACAAAGGTTAGCAAATTATGGCCTCTTTTTGTGCTTCCCATAAGCTAAGAATGGTTATATTTTTAAATGGCTGTGGGAAAAGGTATTATTTGGTGACGTGAAAATTATATGAAATTCAAATTTCAGTGTCCATAGTTTTATTAGAACACAATCATATTCACTCATTCATGTATTGCCCATGGCTGCTCTTGCGCTGTAAGGACAGTGTTTAGTAGATGCAGAGAACATTTAGCCTGCAAAACCTCAAATATTTACTATGTAGTCTATAAGAGGAGATATTTGCCAATCTCGGGTTTAAGATAGCAAAATGATGAGCAAAATAATGAGCTTTTAGCTAGGAATAGAATGCTTCTGAAAAAAGTAAAAAAGTTTATCTCAAGCAAAATGTCTAAATTAAGGTGACTTTAAACTGAATGCAGTGGAGATTTTTTAAAGCCCAGGAAAAGTTGGGGATATCTATAATCATAGAGGGCAGAAGTTATAATGTGGAAGAGAAAAGTAAGATTGGGAGGTAATCAGTGATTTCAACAATGCTTTTAGTGTCAGATGCCTGTACGTCAAACATGAAGAATGGGAAATAAATCAAGTTAATGAGATAGAACTAGAAAATGAAGATGGAAAGTAACAAAATACACTATATTCAGATAGGAGCTTATAGGACCACAGAAGAGAAAGAGCTTTGAATCAAAAAGATATACTTTTCAGAAAAATGAACCAAAACATGAATAGGCAATAAAATAGAAGACTAAGTAGCAAATTAAAGCATAAAGCTGAACCTCAAATAAATACACATTAACAGATACAGTTATTTGCCCATCAAATTATAAAATTTTAAAAATACCCACTTATTCATTCAACAAATATGGACTGAGATCATACTATGTGCTTCACACCATATTAAGTGCTGGATATACAGAGGTAAATAAACTAGATACGGTCCCTGTCCTCATGGAACTTGCAGAGGTAGACCTGAATTGATCATAAATATATGTAATTACAATTATTATAATGAAAAAAACCCACAGTACACATGATCTTACTTACATGGGAAGTGCATGAAAGTCAAACTTGTAGACACAGAGTAAAATGATGGTTACCGGACACTAAGGGGTGGGAGGACTGAGAAGGCATTGGCCAAAGGACACAAAATTTCAGTTAGGAGGAGTAAGTTCAGAAGATCTATTGTGTATCATGTTGACTACACTTAAAAATATATTTTGTATTTGAAAATTAAGAGTAAATTGTAAGTGTTCTCATCACAAAAAAATGACAAGTATGTGAGGTAATACATGTCAAACAGCTTGATTTAGCCATTCCAGAATGTATACATACATCAAAACATCAAGTTGTGTACCATACATAAAATTTTTACTCGTCAATTAAAAATATGTTTAAACATCCCTCCCCTGAGCGTCACAAAAGGATGCCTGAAGGTATCAAAGGCAATGCAGGTGAGTGGGGAGGGATCTCTGAAGGAAACTGTCCATTTGTACGGAGTAACAGCAAAGGTACAAGGAAAGAAGCACACACACAATCTATGCGAGTGTCAAATGAAACAATTCTTATGGATGACAGCCTAGCCACATACAGGATAAGCCATTAAAAGTAAACATTCCTTTCAATCAGTGATGGCTCTTCTAGAAATTTATCCTGTGGAGTAACAGAGATGTGCGCATACTTGAGCAAGATTTTCATCATAAGGTTATTTTTAATAGCAAAAACTGAATATAGAGCAAATGCCCAACTTAGGCTATAAGTTAAATTACGGACATCATACCATCAGCTAAAATTATGTTGCATTAGAATATTTAATAATGTGGCACGTTAACAATGCATAAGAGGAAAAAAAGCAGGTCACAAACTAAGAACCAGAATGATTTTAATTTTTTAAGTCAAATTTTCACGTGATAAGAGTACACAGGTGATTTTTATTTTCTTCTGTGCTTGTCTGTATTGCAAGTTTTCTGTAATCAATCTATATTACTTTTGTAATAAAAAATTTAAAAACAGACAACTGGATAATTTAGAAACATCTAATGATGAATGTATTTTGGAAAAAGGATGCACGAGGCTAAAAGCAGAAAGAAACAGAAGTTACATCTCAGATGAATATACTTCAGACCTTTTGGCCATATGGGAAAACATTAATACATTTCTTACAAAGATCACAAAACTGGCACAGAAACATACAGCAGCAGTGCTTTCAGCTGCTTAAGTATTTGTTGGGTATATGCTATAGCATAGATGTATCCCTCTCTACCCCCACTCCCCAAATCCCTAAGTTGAAATCCTAACCCCCAAGGTGATGGTATTAGGAGATGGAGCCTTTGGGAGGTGATTAACTCATGAGGGAAAGGCTGCTGTGAATGGGATTAGTGCCCTTATAAGAGAGGCCTTGGTGAGATCCCTTGCCCCTTCTGCTTTGTGAGTACACAAGACCTCTATCTATGAATGAGGAAGAAGGCTCTCACTGGACACCTTATATGCCAGAGTCATGATCTTTGACTTCTCAGCCTTCAAGAATGTTGAAAAATAAATGTTTGTTGTTTACAAGCCACCCAGTTTGTTGTAGCTTGTTACAGCAGCCAGAACTAAGATCCTATAAATAGGATTATGTAGGGTCTGACTTATTTGACTAAAAGCCAGGCAGGATGGAATTTGATTTGCCATACTTCATCTGAATTTGTGGGAAAACAGCTACTCTAAGTTGGCCAGAGAATATAACCCCCAGAGAACTGCATTAATTAACCCACTGAGTAGTTCCTTCTGAGAATTCTTAATATATCCAATTATTTATCAAGGATACTCTTGAACTACAGTTGAGTCAGGTTATCAGGTGAAATAAAATGTTTCACCTCTTATATGCAATGCCAAGCAAAGCATCTAATTCATGTAAAAACTATCAATTGTTTAGGTGCAAATTAAAAGTTACGTGCAAACTAAGACCACCCTGATTTCATTTAGATGAGAAGGTATTTCTTTGTAACTCCAAGTTTATCTACCTTAATCTCATGGTGAATGTTACAATAAGGTCTTGAATCTGTAAGACAGAGGGGGCAGGAAACAGAATGGAGTACTCTTTTTTTGTTTTTTTTGAGACAAAGTCTCGCTCTGTCGCCCAGACTGCAGCACAGTGGCGCAGTCTCGGTTCACTGCAACCTCTGCCTCCTGGGTTCAAGAGATTCTCCCGCCTCAGCCTCCTGAGTAGCTGGGACTACAGGCACGTGCCGCCACACCCCAGCTACTTCTTGTATTTTTAGTAGACACGGGGTTTCACCATGTTGGCCAGGCTGGTCTTGAACTCCTGACCTCAAGTGATCCGCCCACCTCCGCCTCCCAAAGTGCTAGGATTACAGGCATGAGCCACTGCACCTGGCAGGATGGTGTACTCTTAAATGGTATTAAGGCTAGAGATCCTAGAAACGCAAGATCTCTATTCCTTGACGAATTGCTACTCTTAAAGGTAAACACCTATTAACGGAAAGCAATGTCATCTGTGGTCTAGAACTACACACAATGCAGAAAATTCTGATGACCTGGGCTGGACACAGCACCTGAGGCTTCACCCACTAGAAAGTATAGCTAAATCCATACGCTATTCACCAATTAAAATGTTCATTTCTCCTCTAAATTCCCTCTCAAGAGGTCAAAATAAAACTGAATGCCTTTCAAAAGAGGCCTTAAACTGTTCTAACAAATTGCTTTGTGAAATAAAGCAATGGGCAGGAGTGGGATAAAAAAGGCCAAGTCAGCCTGTTTCTCTTGCAGGAGGAAAGTGAAGATATTCTGATCCTCATTTTACAAAGGAAAAACTTTTTTTCATTTTAATAATATTTTCTTGTGACAAAAGTGATGCATGTTCACTATGGAAGAACAAAAGATACAGATGATCAAAAAGAAAAAAGTTTACACTTTAACTTTGTTATATGTTTTTCTATGCACATAAAAACATAAACTTGTAGAGTTTTGAGGAAACACCTAGCAAACTAATAG